GCATAGATCACAGAACCCAAGCGTGATAAGTGAATGAGGTATGTGGCGCACAGCTGGGGCTGAAGCTGAACGGAACAATTCGTCACGGGGCTTTTGACCGATCGTGACGGTGTATGTACGTATCGGATTAGTCTACTTTGCGATTACTTTGCATCGAGCGCTAACACCAACCCATGCCTTTCTCCTTTTGGCTATAATATCCCATACATACTTGTGTAGGTTTACACAACATTTCGCAATGGATCCTCCAAGTTTTGTGTGTATTGGCTTTTGACACTAACTCTTGTATTCGGGATGTTGTCATTGCTCCCAGTCTATTAAATTAGCGTCCTGCACCTGATTTGCGTGATCAGCAACATCAACAACGCATTCCAATGAAGCAGTAGCGTCTTAACCAAAACCCATGGTTATGAGTGTTTTTTGTTGAAACATTCTTCGTAGAGTTATGGTCCCTGCAAGTAGCGGAGGTTCGAGCTCTGATACCGGGCCTTACACATGGCAAAAGGACCACGAGGTAAGGATGCACTACGAACCCTTTACCTTGTTTTCTTGTATTCCTTTTTGGAGGGATTGGGTTGGCGTATGATTTGCTAGCAGCTTCGATTTTGGTCTTGGTCGTGGTCCTGACGCTTCATATTCCAGCCCAACCGTTGAGTATCTGTTCCCCTTCTTGCACTATTGATTAGCTTCATGTGCCTTTTGGTTTCCATACCTTTTTGTGTCTTTCTGGTCGTGATATCTTTGAAATCGGGAATCCTTCTCAAAATCCTCCTGTTTTACCTTAATCTTGAGTGGTATGTATACTCTCTGCGCTTCAAGCACATGTCTTTAGTGGAGCAGTCTCTGCCTTCAGTATTAATGAGCAAATAGCCCAAACTGTTGGCTATCCGACCTCTTGGTGGACTACAATACGTAGTACTGGAGTAAAACCAGTCCCTACCAAAACTAAGCCGCTGTTTGTAACCCGTCGCCTTCACCACCGCGCATTATAAAAAAATATCTAACCTACCAGAGTTCTAGAGTTCTATGTACAGAGCGATATTTTATCAGAAAGAATCGTATAAATATATAATGCTGGTGTGGAGTTGGGTCTTACTACTCTTCCGCTGATTTGGTGGGAGACGTTTTCATCCGGGTATTTTGGTCCACCGAGAGCTGACGTTGGATACGTAGTATCTGATATGACATGGCTGCTGATTTCCCCTGTACCTTGAAACATTATAACAAGAGTCATGCTAGGCCTAGGAATAATTGGAGTATTGCTTCAATCGCTTCAAAATCACATGTACCGGAATCTGTAAGGTGATGCAGAACAGATACGGCATTAGTGTATTGGCGAAGTGGGGCGTGTTAAGCTTTATTTTTTCCGATGTTAATTTTTCTTCCGGAGCGTTAAACAACGAAAGCGCATGCTGTTCCCCGACCGGTGATTTGTGGTTCAGCCAAGTCCGACTACTGTAGTAGCACGGTGCGCTTTAGGCAAGGACCTAGTAAACCCTAAAAGAGTCACAGTTGGCTGATGAGATCATCCATTTTAGCCTCAACTTCGAACCTTTGAGTTCGAACATCAAAACTTCATTTACGAGCAGCCGACAGTTTGCGGGGGTGTTTTCTTACCTGATACTGTGACAAATATGGAAGAAAATATAGGACCGTCTGCCGACAATATGGCCGGCAAGCGTTCGGTGCGATGATCAACCTGTTCCTCACCGTTGTTCTGACATTTCGGCTGTAGTGCGAATATTGTCGAACAAAAAAAATCCGCTGCGACCGGACTGTTCCGTGCTCAAACTGTAGAATGAATAAAGCCGGTAAGTCTGATGATCAGAAAATCAGTCAGGGTCAAGCCTTGTTCACAGTATAGCCTTGCACCCGGATTCCCAATATGGTGTATCCCTATAGTCCGCGGAGATCCACTAACTAGTCAAGATTGCAAAACAGTTTTACCTGAACAGAAAACCCCAAGAGTAAGAATCAATTTATCTGGAGAGTAGTGCGTATCCAACCTTCCATTTAAGTTAGGTATTTGACTCTGGGTAGTGAGAAGAAGATAGACCGTCTCGAAAGCCGTCTTGCGAGTATCGAAATTATTCTCGCCAAGATTGCTTTGAAGCTGGAGATCAAGGATGCATACACAGTGGTTGATGAGCAGGTTGTTCAGCCGAAATTGTCATCAACTCAAGTCAATGAGAAATCTTCCGTTACCGAGGCCGAGGCGACAACACCTACGCCTTTTGAAGGCGAGACTGGAATGAATAGGCAGTCAGACTATGTGCGAGAGTTGCTCGTTCAGGTGGTTGGTCAGACACCATCGATGGACCAAAATGCAGAAGTTAAAGCAGCCTTGACAGCACTTGAGGAGCTGGTTACGCCCAGCAATCATGGAGATATCTCCCTAAAGCTAAACACTCAGCAACTGACTGACCGATCTGTTACAAAAATTGACAGCGCAAAGTTAGAGCAGCCCCCCTGGAGTGTGGTGAAGGTCGCCATGGATAAGGCACTGGGTTAGTAGTCCCTGGCTTGGGAATACTTGGATCTGCTAACGCTTACAGAACATCCAACTATGATCTTTACTGCTTTCTTCCCTATCATTGATACGAGGAATCTCTATGAAGTCATCGAAGATTTTTATTCCAACCCCACCACGTGCACTACTCCACGTCGAATTTTTGCGTGTGGTGTATTGTTCAATATATTTTCAGAGTATTCATCGGCACCCTGGAGCGGCACTACCAAAGCGGATTTGACAAGGTGCGCGAAACTCACTTTTTCCCTCGACTCCCTTATCAGGATTGTATTGACTATTTCTAGATACGCATCTTCTAGTATGTCGTCTATTATGATATACTACATAAATGTGCGTCATCTAATTCCAAGCGCTTACAGCTAGGGCACAGTTGGAGCTTGCCATAAGCCAGCTTGGTATACTCATATCAGCTAGCCATGAAAATATTGTAGCTCTAAGCTTGGGTACGGCTTGCGCAGTCGAGATGTGCAAACCGTCACTTGCTTGGATGCTGAATTCCTACGCGGTTGAGCTATGCCAAAATCTAGGTTACCATCGTTTCGCAACCATAAAGAACGACCCAGAAGAGGAGCGGAGACGTAAAATGCACCTGTTTTGGATGGTTTATTACTTCGACAAGCAACTGTCTCTGCGTTTAGGTCGAGCAAGTCTAATCCAAGATTGGGATGTGTCATTGCCTTTCCTTGCCACGGGCGATGCATCGCATAATGGTTTCGAAGAGAATGACATGCTTCCATATTGGGTCAAAGTTGCTAAGGTTCAAGGGCAAACATACGAGAACTTGTTTAGTGCAGCTGCATTCCTTAAAACGCAGACTGAGCGACACCAAACTGCTATAAGTCTCGTTCGTGCGATGGAACAAGCTTGGTATGAACGAGGCTATGTAGGTATCCCTGGCTCCACCAATCTAGCGAGTCCCATCGAAACAGAACTGCCTTTCAATTATAGACAAACCTTATGCAAAAACTCTCAAGATGCCCTGAAACAGGGCGCTTATGGCATAGGTCAGTTCTTTTCATCTCTCAATTGGAAAACAGGGCCTAAATATATAGAATATCTTGATGATGTCGAGGATCTGTTTTTTCACACGGATGTTGTAGTACATTACTCAACATGTGCACTTATACACCGGGCAACGTGTTCAGAGAATACATTGAGCCAAGAATGTCTTGAGTCTTCTCGAGCGGCAATATTAGCGCATATGAGGTGTAACGCCCAATTCAACTCAAAAGCCAATACAGAGCTTTGGGCAGGATACATCCATTGGTCCGTCCTTCAGGTACGCAAGATGTGGAAATATTTTAATCATTGACTCGACTTAGTCGACCCGGCTGATGTAAATACAGGCTCCAATCACCCCGTAAGAATTTTCTTGATACATGCAGTAGCTATGGTATTGATTTTGATCAGCTTCATCGTCTTGTTTTGCAACGCAATTCAAACTGCCGATCGCACTGACCTAGATTCCCTCTCAGATTTCGTCACCAGCCTTGAGTCTAGTAAAACAGTCTCCGAGGGCGCAGCAAAGCTATACAGAATGTGTCTTCTTTTCGTGAAAGTAGCCAAAATCTACATCCAAGCAAAAGAGAAAGAGACCAAAAAGGGCCTGGCGTCATCTTTCCCATACCCAGGACAAGGCTTTTTCGACGCGACTGTGCCTGATACCTTTCTAGACTTTAGCACAGTCTCACAGTTTGGCCCGCATCTAAGCGCTCTTGGATTAATGTCCAGTACGGATTGGTCGATGCCTAGTTATGTACCAGATTCAACACCGGAAGGACAGGAGCAATACGCATCGACTGAAGCCATGAGTGGCGTGCAAGATTTCGACGGCGTAGGCATGAGCCAACAAGGCTTGGGTGTAAGCCAAAACTCTGTACAAGACTGGTTCTCAGGATCGCGATATTTGATCAACTTCATGGATTCGGACAACGATATGCAGATGCCTGACATGAACAACCCAAGTTTTTGATTAATAGCTCAAGGCTTGATCTCTCTTCTCTCCACTCGATTTAGCAAATTTGGGTTCCAGGTAGACTTTTTGATCTTCTTTAACCCGATTTCCGATAGAACAATCGACTCCTCTCTATATTATATCAATCATATAACCTAAAGCAACACCAGACTCATCTCTCAACACCTCAGCATAAGCCCTGCTCAAATGTTCATCTCCGTCATCGACGATTTGACCCAGTGTATCGATCAAACTCTCTTTCAAGGGTGCAAAGAATCTCCCGACCCTGCGATAAATACCCTTTCCTATATCCAAAAGCTCGAGCACTAAGCCTATAAGTGCCTCTTCATTTGACTTGCTCTGAAATACTGGTAGTAAGTGTCCTTCTTGAATTTTTTCGTTGCCATCATCTAGGCAATCATCGGGCATCACAGTGCTTCCAGCGACGCTTTTGTTGCCGGGCAATAGCAGTTCTTTGGCATATCCCTCAAAACTCGCACGATGTAGACCACTGCAACGAATTCTCATGGTGGCACTGTTGATCGCTCCAAACGGATCGGATCCAGCGTATCCAATCTTAACATCCACTACGGATATCAAAACTGGTCGGTCGAGAAGAGATACATGTTCTGTGTGAACTGGTACATCCACAGAGGCCCATGACCAGCTTGGGGCGATGTATGCCTCCGTCTCCCGACGTGGCTCTGGAACCCAGATGAACCAGCACAATTGAGCTTCCAGGTTTTTTCTCCATAGCCCTGCTACGTATTGGTCATTTGTTTGTTCATGTATCTTTCTAGCAAGGCCGGAGATGGCGACCAGTTTATCCTTGACATATGTCAATTTGCAGGCGCTATACGTAGCGACGATCCATGGCCACATCGAATCGTTTATTGTTTGTTTCCATAGAAATATGGGAGACATCATCATATCTCCCGGTAGTCTTTCTGGGAAGCTTTCACAGGCCGTAGTGTGATTACACTCCCAGAACAGCTCAGTGGTCGTAAAGTGCAGAGTACGCATGGCTAATACGCGTTCTTGGAGTACCCAGCCTCGCTCCATTAGTGGCATGCTAAGTAAGCATCGCGAATGAAGAGAGACGGGAGCTGCAGAATAATGAAGGGCGTTATGACTATTGTACAGCTGTAGCTTGCAGTTCCAATGAGCAGGCCGAGAAAAAAAGCAGCCGTCCCGTTCATCTCTCGCGCCAGCAGCTGCAATATTGAGACTCGAGTTTCCATAAACGATCGTCATCATCGCTGCTTCTCTTTCCCAGTCCATGATATCATCTTGGACAATACATAGAGTGTCCACCCAGATGTACTCGAAACCCAGATCACGCGCTATCGTGATGGCGTCTTGTACTGTACGTGAGAGATCTTCACTTGGTATCTGAGTTTCCAATTGCTGCAGATTGCTCTTACTGAGGGTAAGATATTGAGTTCCTCCCCAACAGTGACTGAGTGTCGCATATTCGACCCCTGCATCCAACTCATCTTGCTGATAGACGCGGCACCGACCCATGGCAGTGCCAACCAGTCGCGTAGGTATGTATTGCGACGCACGATTTTGGCATTTTTCATGTTTCAAAGAACACGCTCGTAGCCATTCTTTAGCTATAGGAATCGAAGATCTCGTGCTTTGTGCTTCCTGTTCGCTTGTAGATGGTAAACTGACTTTTGCAGGAAGATAAGTGAGGGGCATACAACGATATAATGTTTGTACGTACGTGGCTTGGGTGATGGATCTATAGTGATACGGTACATTATGGTTTCATTCTGCCGTGCCATCATCTGAGCTCCAAGAGTATCTTTGTCCGATGAGTCTCGTGAAAGCTGTGGAGAGCTCAATGTGGTCCTGCCTTCTCGCTCATCAAGTATCCGGAATTTCAGATCAAATCGCAGGAAATTCGCTAACAATGGAATGTTCGGGTCATGGAAATTACCAGAATGTACACTGACGCCCAGTGACTGATATGTGCTGAGCGGAGATATCTCCATATCATCATTAAAAGCGAACGACGATCGGGATGGCCCACTTCTCCAAAACTGGTAACACAGTGAGCAGTTGGATGCTGCGGCCCGTTCAAGTTCCGCAGGATTTTGGTGATGAGGGAAGTAGTGGCCCCTTTTTCGTTGCCAGCGATCCCAGTTGTCAAACATGAACTGGCAACGAGTACATAGTTTAGACAGTGTAGAATCAAGCCGAATATTCCAGTTTGAAAAGTCGAAATCGTTCTCAGTATCCTCGGCCATTTTCTCAGCATTAACAACAATAGGAATGAATACACTTGAGAAGACGCCGACCAGGTTTTGCTATGGTAGGGATTTCGTCTGCGTTCCTGATGAGGCATGGGGGCCTAAAAGGCGGGGCTGGTACGTACCCGGCCGAGCGCAATAAGGACATGTCCACCAACAACAGAAAGGAGGCAGCTAGGCTTTACAAAATACTACTGAAAACACAAGTTTAAGAATTCTTTGGTATTCTAGTTCTGATTATAGTTATGCCTCTTCTTGTAACCGCACTGTTTTTATTACAATTGCCCATATGAAGCATGTGATAAATCACCACTAGTAGGTACTACCCGACCATCGCATGTAAAGCGTGTCCAGGTCAGCACAAAATAGATGTTCGGTTCGATTGAACTGTCAAGTTGAAGTGAAGAGATGCTTCAATTGCAGTGACAAAAGGTAGTAGTACGCCTGACTCAGCATGCCCCTCCAGCTTCGAAAGCTACCCCGCCACTGATTGTATCAGCCCACCTTAAGGACAACAACAGCTTCACCTGCCATCATGACGGATCTGAACGCACAACAGGCTGAGAATCACTACTTTGACAACGAGCCCCCGCCAAAGGACCTCAAGGCAAACATAACCCTTGCGAGAGAATTCATCACACGCCATAACGATGACCACCGCCGCGTGGTGCTGGTCACTTCCGGCGGCACCACGGTGCCACTAGAACAACAAACTGTGCGCTACATCGACAACTTTTCTGCTGGTACACGCGGAGCTACTAGTGCCGAGTATTTCCTCCAAAATGGATATGCTGTCATCTTCTTGCACAGGCAGTTCTCGCTCTTGCCCTACTCAAGACACTATTCACATAACACGCGTTCTTTTCTGGACTACATGAAGGAAGAGAACGGCCAGGTCGTGGTGGACGAACAACATCAAGATCAGATGCTGCGCGTCTTGCGCCAGTATACCGAGGTCAAACGCGGAAACAAGTTGTTGATCCTGTCCTACGTAACAATCACCGAGTACCTGTGGAATTTGCGCGAGGTTGCGCAACTCATGCGTCCACTCGGTCCAAAAGCCATGTTCTATCTGGCTGCTGCTGTGTCCGATTTCTTTGTACCCCAGGACCGCATGGTCGAGCACAAGATACAATCGAATGAAGAGTTCCATCAAGGCGCAGACGGCGTGACTGAAAGCAAAGCAAAACCTCCAGCGGCACGCACTCAAGGCAAAAGTCTCATCATTGATCTCGAGCCGGTTCCCAAGTTTCTAAAACAACTCGTGGACGGCTGGGCACCGGAAGCAATGATTGTAAGCTTCAAGCTGGAGACTGATCCTTCGCTGCTTGTCACAAAAGCCAAGTATGCGTTGAATAAATACTCACACCACCTCGTCATTGGAAATTTACTGCTCACTCGTAAATGGGAAGTCGTGTTTGTATCGGTCTTTGAAGGCGAGAAATGGATAAGAGTACCCACAAGCCGTAGGACAAAAAGTTTGTCAGGCAGACCGTCGCTTGTTGGATCTGCTGATCAGCTGGCAAAGAAGGACGACGAGGCGGGTGGGTCAATTGCCACCGAACGGGGTATCCCGCAGGGCGAGCCCTCTGTGGAGATCGAGTCTTTGATTATTCCCGAAATCGAGTCCATGCATAGCAAACTCATAGAACAGGCTCAAACAGGAGCTGCGGCTTCTTAGCAATGACATACCCCATATACAGTAAGCATCTCATCTCACTATTTATAATGTTGGTCTGGATACCATCCAGGAAAAAGTTTCATCTCCATATACGTGTTCGTTATGCATTTCATGTACACATTACAATTTCATAACTGCTTCTTTCACTCCAGGATGACCTTCCATTGTGCCACCGCATGCCGTGCACTTGCTCCATACCATATGAGCAACAGTGCTCCTATGGTCACAATTCCAGCGAATACACCAGCCATTGTGCCAAAGGCATTGACATAGCCAACATCAGAGACCCAAGGCACTACGCCGTACAAGAAACCAAAAGCCACGATATTCTTCAACCCATTGATGAGCAACATGACATCCGAGTTGACTGGTAGCGCGCAATCACTGGCATACGCCAAGGTAATTGTGGGGATGGCGGTTAGCGAGACAGATATCATTCCATAGCCGAAAAAGAGCGATACCCACGACAGCGCATTCTGCACACCATATCCAAACAGAACACTGCCTGCAGTAGTAAGCACGAGTGGAATGGCTATCAGATAAAGTCTGCTTTCGGGCTCATAAATGCCAAGATACTTTTTGGTCCGCCATTTACACCACATGTCTACAAGGTCACCTATATGCGATTAGAGTATTCTGCAGTGGTCCAATTTAGGTTCTCTTACCTCCAGCCCACGATCCAAAGACGTTACCCAGGATGCCAGGAATGTTGATAAGGCCATTAATCTGCACGTTCCAGTTGTATGGTGGTGCCTGCAGAACAAAGGGATTGAGGATGTTGACTGCGACCGTAAGGACCAAGGAGATTGAGTAACAGAGAAATGCGTAGATGGCTGCCGGATATATGATCATCGGAAACGGTCTTCCAAACATCAGTTGAATGCGTTGCCATTCTCGACTACTACTTACCGCACAAACATCTTGGCCAGATTGGTTTCGGAAACCCCAGACCATAAGCTGAGATTCTGTTTCCATGTCTTTTTTGGTAACTGTTCTAATGGTGTTCCGGGAGACGGCGACCCTTGGGGCAATTTCTCATCAGTCATGACGACTTTCTTGTTTGAAGGCGATAGGACCGTGTTAACTTGGCCAACCTCGCGCATGTATCTGGTTTCTGGCACAAAGAATAGGATTGTCAGGAAATTTATTCCTGTAAAGATTGCGGATATCCATTTCTGCCACCGCCAGGACAAATTCGAAACAATGAAGCCACAAATCAAGGGGCCAAAGGTATTTCCGCCTGCTATAGCGTTCCTGGTGCATGTCAGAATTTTTTTGAGATTATCCAAGGGCAGAAACAACGCGCTTACATGTATATTCCCATCTTGCTACCCCGCTCATGCAAGAAGTACAGATCCTAGACGGCGTATGAGTTAGAGGAAAAACAAGAGTATGCACCAGTGCGTAAGACAAGATGGGAAACCCACATTCACTGTAGCCGCACCCAACGCCTCGGTCGAAGACCCGGCAAATGCTGCGATGATGTTGCTGCATAGCACACTTTCGAATGAGGTAGCAACAGCACCCCACACATAACAGAGACAAAGCAACCCACTTGCTAGAACAAAGACTGGTCGTTTACCAAAGTAGTTGGCCATTGGCACCCAGAAGAAATTAAAAGCGCCAAGGACCAAGATTGGATAGGTAAGCAGGTGTGAGGTTTCGTCCATTGTCTTGTTGAACTCAATAGACATGATGTACAACGCTGGCGCTATGCCACCGATACCGAAATTGGTTAGAAATGTAAATGCGCACACTGATGCGAATGCAACATGTTTCTTCCACAACGGCCAACGGAGAGGATCATTTGGGTCTATTGGAGAGGGCTGTGGGTACAAGAGTATGTTTGATGAAGACTCTTCGCTAGTGGCTACGATAATTGTCAATCCCTTCGTCGAAATTGTTGGGACGTCAACCTACTCTGTTGCAACAACACCGTACCGTCCGTTTGATCCAAGTCCCTTAGACGCGTGAAGCGCATATTTGCGAAGCGTCTGCTACCACACTCCCCGACTTAAGTCGGACAAGAAGAAGATATCCGGGACCAGAAGGAGCAATTTGAGTGGATTTAGCTCTTCGTCCTCTCTACTACTAGTGGCATGGAAAGTGATCTCGGGGTAAGTAAACATGGTGAGCTATGGCCAGACGCAGGGCTATATACGTTTTGGCCTTATCAACTCAGCGCCCCGTGGTTCGCAAGACGCATCTCACTTTCTCCAAGACTCGAGCAAGTTGCATATCGATAGGCTTAGTGTTTTTGTTTCGGTTCGTTTGGTTGGCTGGATAATGGCGTACAGCTTGCAGGACGCATGAGTGTCGGGGGGTGCGGGGCCGGTTGCCATTCCGTACTTGTTGTCGATCGATAGCTAGTCTAGGATGATGGGTGCCAGTGCAGAGTACATTCCGCGGTTGTTCGTCAAAAGCAACTCTGGATGCAATTCCGAACACAAAAGGGGTAGAAAGAGGGTCACGGGAACGCAGCCTCCAAACCTGGTCGCCAGCTATTGTGTATCGATGCATAGGCCTTACAACGTCCTGGGAGCGGTGCCGTCACTGTCAACAGTCGAAGTCGCGCAAGCCCGTCCGTGGCATGTTTGGCTGATTGTCACCATCGGACTACCTGTGCTCTGATTGTGGCGTCCAGAGGCGCAACTCATCGCTGTATGAGATTGGAAAGTTGCTCTGTCGAAGGCAACGAGGAGACAAGGCTTTATCGTTATGGTGAAAGCGCCAGCACGAAGCAGTCATGCTCAGTCATGCTCAGTACTTGCAAGCAGGTGATATGCGACAAGTCACCTGCATATCCCAGCCGCCAGAGTTATTACTGCATGGTTGCGTGCCATCCCGTCCCAGTTCGGCAAGTTGCTGGGCTCACTAGCGTCAATGCCGCGGAACTTCTACGTTCAACACTGACCCTTCATCTCTTTCCGCCGACTAGCTCATCAACTGCCAGAACTGCAGCCCAGAAGCCCGATCAAACATCTACGTTACTACCATTCAACAACCACCAGTTGAGGTGGTGTTCGTGCTGCGGCCGGTGCTGAGACGATCTGAAATCTCTCCACGGATGACACCATGTGCAACGTCGGGCGCAATCCTGAACATTGCGCCTGTTGCACAAGGTATCGGGACGGCGACTGGGCTTCCTGATGTTTACAGCAACTGATTCTGCTGTGGAGATGCTGGCGTTTGTATCTGTCGCAATCCCTGCTTTTTCGTCACTTCCAAAGCTCACTGTGAAGCTACAGTATACGGACTTTGTTCCTGACGACTGGAGAACTTCCTCGATAGCCAAGAACAACGAATAGTCACATCTTCATGATGTTGTGCTACAACTATCAGGCCCATTCTTATGCCTCAGGTCTGCAGCCGTGGTAGTACAGGGGGGTTTTAACAACAACGGCTCTCGCCGGTAGTCGAATTGAGCAGCACATCGAATGCTGCCCTTCTGGTTCCCCAGATCATCCAACAGGGTGGCCACCGCGGCCACTAACCTGCGCTGCAAATCATGCTGCACAGCGGACATGTAGTCAGATCCTAATAGTGTTTCTCGACATATGTCATGGTGCAAGAGGCATGTTGACAAGACAGTGCGCCTTAGTTATGCTTTTTCTTGCCCCGAATCCTGCTGCATTGGGCCACACATGACGCCTTGGGTTTCTTTACGGGACGCAAACTGAACATGGCATATCGCATCTTACCCTGAGTGATCAAAGACACCTCGATACATCACGGGCGCTACGTATTCATCGAAGGAACATCAATAGAGCACAGCACTAACCGAGTTGTGGGGGCGGTACAGGGTAACACCTTTCTACAATTTGTCCCTAGACTATTCCCGAGGAACCCAATCTCCGGGATTGGTTGGTATTGTGGCTTGTTTTGGTGGGACCATTATACTTGATAAACAAAGTGTCTCACCTCTTGGCTCCGGCACATTGAACATGTGCAACCATTTCTTGTGCTCAGAACCGAGTCTCTTGTTAAGGATCTTCTGCACTGATAGGTTCCCGCCTATCCCTCTCGCCCTACTATCTACCATCACCTTGCCTCTCTCTCGTGCCTGATTATACCACAGGAAATGGACCCCTCAGTAATGGCAAAGGATGCGCCACAGCAGTCCCCACCTACACCAGGAGCAGCGTCGGCCCCTGAGAGCCCTCGGTCACCCTGTTCACCATCCAAGACAGCCGAGTTATGGGACGGCTATGAAAGACTAGCTGTTGAGAAGGCGAAAGAAAGAGACGAACTGATGCATGAAACGCATGAACGAGACGACTGCTCAACTTCACGAACAAGTTTTGATTTTAGGTTTAAGCGGGCGCAAACTACGATTCCATCTACTACAACATCTGGTTGTAAATTTTGCGGGCGTCCCATCATATACGCCTCTGGTATGTGCGAAGGTTGCTTCAAACGCACCGTGATTTCACCTGGTAATGAAGAGATTACAACACCGCTGGGTGCTTCTGAACACAACATGGCGGTTTCAGGCCTTTGCCAGATTTCTTTAAGAGAGGAAATCATCACACCAACATATGCCTCACCCAAGCGCGCATCATTCTGTCCACTACCAGCACACCTGACCGACGCCTCGACACGCACCTCGTCAACACAGCCAGGATCCGTAGGCCGCAGAAAGAAATCACCCAGCGAACCTACGCAGCCAAGTCTCCAACTGCAAATCACACCATCAACACATACGCCGCGCTCGCAGGCCAACTCACCTCCGATGACACCTACATCCCCACCAGGCACCGCGCACTCGCTGAACTCGACGCGGCGGTCGAGTCTAGCCAACGTAACCATGCTACCCAAGCCTCGCTATCCGCATGCACGCAATGACAGCGGCACACCCTCTGAATTCAGCACGCTCTACCAAACAGTGTCAACCACGACGACGCCACCAGCAAGTCTGCATCGGTTCGGGTACCCGCTGCAAAACACGACGAGCGCATGGGACGACTGGGACAGCGACGAGGAAGAAGAACAGGGCGAAGAAGAAGAGCGACCGGGCCTATCGTCGTGGATGGGACGCCGCAAGATAAGGAGCCGCAATGGTGGCGGGGCCGGTGGTAGTGGTGGCGGCAGCGGCGCTAAAGCCAGTATGGATCAATACGACAGCTCTGGCGAGGAGACGCGGGAGAAGATGACGATGGCGCGCAAGAGTAGAGACGAGCGCGTGGAACAGAGTCGGGTTGAGTCTGTGGGTGGTATGAGTGTGCGTGTTGAGCGGCTTGTTGAACCGAGTCGCGATAACAAGGTGAAGAAGCCGAGTGGGTTTGTGAGGGCGTTGAGTTGTGGATGTGGTACTGCTGAGTGATGAGACTCTTTTCTTCTTATCTTTCTGTCTCTCTTTCTCTTTTTTCTTTCACCTTCTTCTTCTTCTTCTTCTTCTTTTGTTACACGATTACTTTTACCGTTCTTCGGGCTTTTTTCTTTCTTTCCCTTTGTCCTGGGTAGGGGGGGGGGTTTGGGCTACTTTTATTTTTCCTATGTCATGGGCGTTTCTGAGATACACGATGGGATGGGAATACTCTTTCTTGGATATATACCCTCATTGTGTAGTGGGGTGTGTTGGAAGGGAGTAGAGAAGTGTTCTTTTTTTTTTCTCTTAACCCCAGGCTTGGGGGTTGGTTTCGGAACCTGTATTACTATTATTACTTTATTATTGTCGATGTTATTACATATACATACTTCTTAACTATTAAGCGGGAGGGGATGGGGGGCTACAAATAACAGGGGGATGTTTTAGTACGAGATATCATGTGATTAAAAGTGCCAAACAAGGTAACCCCCAGGTGTTCAGCAAGACGAAAGGGAGGGACGCGTGGATTATCATTTGCCTTTGACGGTGTAGAAAAAGCACGGGTGTTCGATAGGTAATATCCCCCACCCCTGAACTTTACTATAGTATGCAACGTTCCCCTCGCCCCAATCTCGAGCGTCTTTAGAGTTTACCGCCTCGCCGAACTCTGTGCACGCTGCAAAGAGAAAGGGCGAACACAAGCCCGACTCGTGTTGGTGAATACGATAGGAAAAAGGAGTCAGGGCAAAAAATCCATTCACTTGTTTGTGCATATCATGTCGACAGAAAAGAATACGATCGTCACTGAAAGGTTACAGCGGGATGTGCCCACCATCATCAATGTGCGCATTTTGTATACACAAGGGGGCAAAAGCCAAACTCACCCCCATCAACATCACAAGATCAATATTTACTATATAAAAAAACACCGCATACAAGGGAGGGATCTACAACCCGCCCCTTCCCTCCCTTCTCCCCGCTAAGCGAACGCAGCAAGCGATAAGAAGAAGAAGAAGAAGAAGAAGAAAAAAAGGTGCCGCGCAAAGCCGAAAAGAGTAGGAGTGCGACGGAGAACACACGGTCGACACGCGGAACCGGTAAAGAGGAGAAGAAGAAGAAGGAGGTAAAAGTAGACCCACCTGGGTGGGAAAATAATTTAGTTTCTCGTATTATTCCGAATTTCGATACTAAGTAAGTAAACGAGCCCCCCCCAAAGAAACGGGGAATTCATGATGATAGGCGGGCATGCACGACGCTTTTTAGATCATAAGAGTTATTGTTTTGTTAATGTTTTGTGTCTGGATTGGGTTTGATTCGATTGTTTGGTGTGGCGCAAGCCAGGCCACGCGAACAAGCTTTTTTTTTCGCGGGGGAAGGGAGGGAAGGCGCAATCGGTTGGCTGTTTGGTGGTGGCTGGGCCAGAAAGAGGTAGGATAGCGAGGACGGGTCGGGCGTGGCTTGAAGGAAGAGTGCTTATACGGGGGACGCGCGGGCGGATGTCAGACGCCTAAAGTGCTTTAAGGTGGTTTAAAAAAGGGCTGGCGTAAGCGGGCATTTTGGTGGACGGGTGGTCGGCGGCGGGCCGATAGTATTTAGGCTGGGTGGCTGCTAGAGTTTGGTAGGGTAAGTGAAGGGGGGCACGGGGCAAGTGTGTGTGTAGTGTAGTGTAGTGTAGTGTAGTTGTTTAGCATGTGCCTACAAGACAGGAGAGAAAGAGGAGCAAGACTATTTTGTCAGGCGGGTATCAGGCGACTACCTAGACAGGAAGTGGGTGAAAGCACGAACCAAGGCAAACAAGGACAGGGAGGGGAGCTGCAGGGCGCGATGGAAGCGTCACCGAAGCATCTCCTCGGGCATTCTGGGGCATCGGCCAAATTTCCATGTGTCTTTGGGAGCATGGATGGAAATAACTAAAGGGCTGGACAGCTCAAACAGCTGTGGGGCTGGCAGGCGGCCGGACTTGGCAAGGCGTGTATTGTTTGCATGTTGGAATTTGCGGGCCCAAGGCCAATTTCCCAGGTACGAAGTTTCATCTGATCCAACTCGTGAGGCTGCCCGGCTTTGCATCATAGTGCTGACGCGATCGCCCGGCGGGTGAAGGCGGCGCATGTCACTAAGCTTACAGAGTATAGGTAGGATATGCGGCAGCAGACTATTGTATTTTGATCCGCTTAGGCCACTAGTCGGAGGTATTGTCGTGGTTCATGCTGGAATCCGGCAATTGGCGGAGGTGAAGGGTTGGGACAGCGCAGCAGGACAGCACACACACACACACACACACAACAGGACAGCGCATGGCCAAATTGCAGGTACTGTTTGCCTTGGTCCAGGATAGTGGATGTCGGCGCCGAAGCCAACGGCATTACTGTTACGTGAGTGACAATGCGAACAGGACGTAGTACAAAGGCTTGGAGGGCTTGGAGTTGCTCGCAGGTTTCTGGTCAGGGGTAAGGCTGGAGGCGCTAGGCCTGAAGGGGAAGGGGCAGTGGCGAGGAAGCTGCTGTGATTGGCCCAAGGCGCAATTTCTGCAGTTGCATTTTGCATGCGGGCGAAGCTTAGCTAGGAAGCGAAAGGCTTGAGTGCAGCCGACCGGCTTGGTTACAGCGCACCGCCGTTGCAGCCGAGCAGCCAGCCTCGCCCGCCCGTCGAAGGAGCAAGTAAGTAAGTAAGCATTGCTATTGTTGTAATACCGCAGTCGGGGTTCGATATAGACATGTCACCTCAAATGCAATCAAAAGGGACAAGCTGCTTACCCTTCCCCCACAGGAGCGTCGTCTGGCCGGCGCAGCAGCTGCCGCTTTCCGTTGCGGTGGGCGTCGACAGCCAATCCCTGCGCCCAGAAATAGAAAACCCACACGCCCACCCCCCGCCATGATCCAACCACGACGCGGGCCCCTTAAGGCTGCACGGCAACCTTGCATCCATACCGTCATTGGCCCGCGCCTCCAGATGGCCCGTCCTGTCTGTCGTTGCCCGACCGGGGCTCACTCGCGGCCGAGCCCATGACTAAACCTAGCTCACCTGGCCTCGTATATCCCGTTTCCTCCACAGCTACTTGAGCCCACGCTTGCCCGCCTACAATCCCCTCCACCTCGTCCTTCGTTTGTCAACCACATTCGTTCCCCCCAGGACAGCTGTCACTCGTTTCCAGCGTCCTACCCGTGTATCCTACCAGTCCCGGTACCATATACCCATAATAATTATTATTATTAATTCTTCTGGACTGCTTCGATGTAAGTGCTTTCTTTTCTCTCCTCCCCATTACACGAAACACGTTCGTTGCCTGTCCTCCCCGGATTTACGGCACATGCACATGTTTGGTATCATCGGGCATTTGTGTGTTGCCTTCTAAACAAGTCATGTGTCTTGAAGATTGCATGTCTTCTGATCACATACACACATGACCACTGCTCTATCCGTCCCGAACCACTGCAGCACGGCCCCTCATGCACTGCCTGCGACTCAATGTTTTCTGCATTGGCCATCTGTCTCCATGGCCACCTAATTATTCGATGATGCATTGGCTTACACGCGCTCTTCTAGCCTAGTCACAACCATGAGGTCTTCGGTTTACGGCCTTGGCCTGCTCGTTGGCGCGGCCTCGGCCAACATCAACTTCTTCTGGGTCCAACCCACCTGCAACTACACTGACCCCGCCGCCTTCCCTAAGTGTTTGACTGGCCAGCACTGCCTACAGAACAACACGTGAGTTTGTCCATACATTCACTCATTCCATCGACTTCCCATCTAACGACATGCAGTTGTATTCCAGATGATGCCAGTCCCTACTCCAAGGTTGCATCCCGCTCTACTTTGCTTTTCGCCCCTGAAAAGAGGCAAAACAACAAGTACTCCCAGGATGGCAAGTGCGGTCCTCAAAACGGCAACTTGCTCTGCGACCCCAACAGCACAGTCTACACAGGCACCTGCTGCTCCGAGTACGGCTGGTGTGGCAACACCGCAGCCCACTGCTCAACGGGCTGCCAATCTGGTTGCGACAACGCCCCCAAGGCCTCTACTGCTGCCACCCCTGCCAACTCTGCCGTCAGGGACGATGGCCGCTGTGGAAAGGACTTTGGCGGCGCTACCTGCGATGCCAAGGGCGCTTACGGTGGCTGCTGCTCTGAGTACGGATACTGCGGTAGCACCGACGGTCACTGCCTCAAGGCCAATGGCTGCCAGAACGGTTGCAAGGACGGCACTCCTCAGAACGATCCTAAGCCTACTGCCGCCACCGCTACCCGCCCTCCCTCGACCACCACTTCTGGTGAGCCTGTAATGGGAAAGCCAACCACCCCCAGCAACCCCAATGGAATCCCCACTACTGATGGAAGCTGCGGTGCCAAGTTCGGCAACACTGTTTGCGGAAGCTGGGCCCAGGGCAGCTGCTGCAGCATGTACGGCTACTGTGGTAACACAACCTCTCACTGTGGTGAAGGTTGCCAGAGCGGTCCTTGCAACCAGGCTCCTACTGTCCCCGCCCCTGGTGCCAGCCCGGCGCCTGTTGCTGCTAAGCCCGGAAGCATCGCCCTCAAGGGCCGATCCGGTGTTCCCGCTATGCACGCTGGTCTCATGCCCAACGGCCGTGTTGTCTTCCTTGACAAGGTCGAGAACTACACTGAGCTCAAGCTTCCCAACGGCCAGTACGCCTACTCCTCCGAGTGGGACCCCGTCACCGGCGAGTTGGTTCCCCTTGCCTACAAGACCAATGCCTTCTGCTCTGGTGGTATCTTCCTTGCTGACGGTCGCTTCGTCTCCCTCGGTGGAAACGCTCCTCTTGACTTCATTGACCCTACTGTTGGCGATGGTTTCAAGGGTATCCGTTACCTCGAGCGCTCCTCCACTGATGCTTCCAAGAACGGAAAGGCCTGGGTCGAGCCTGGTCAGCTTCTCGACACTCCCCGCTGGTACGCCTCCGTCCAGATCATGCCCGATGACTCCATCTTCGTCGCATCTGGCTCCAAGAACGGTCTCGACCCCAGCAAGCCCGAGAACAACAACCCTACCTACGAGATCCTCAACGCCGACGGTACTCCTCGTGGCAAGAGCTACAACATGGAGATTCTCAGCAAGAACCAGCCCTACTACATGTACCCCTTCATGCACTTGTTGAAGGACGGCAACGTTTTCGTCGCCGTCTCCAAGTCTGCTGAGATCTTCAAGGTCGAGACTGGCACCGTTGTCCGCATGATGCCCGACCTCCCCGGTACCTACCGCACCTACCCCAACACTGGTGGATCCGTCATGCTTCCTCTGTCCAGCGCCAACAACTGGAACGCTGATATCATCATCTGCGGTGGTGGTCCTTACCAAGACATTACTGCTCCTGGTGACGCTTCCTGTGGTCGCATCAGGCCTCTTGATGCCGACCCACAGTGGGAGATGGACTCTATGCCCGAGGGCCGTGGTATGGTTGAAGGTACTCTTCTTCCCGACGGTACCGTCGTCTGGGTCAACGGTGCTCAGGAGGGTGCTCAAGGTTTCGGTGTTGCTCGCGATCCCGCTCTTGAGGTCCTTCTCTACGACCCCAACCAGCCCAAGGGCAAGCGCTTCACCACCGGTCCCAAGTCCACCATTGCTCGTCTCTACCACAGTGTTGCCCTTCTCCTCCTTGACGGTACTCTGCTCATCTCCGGCTCCAACCCCGTTGAGCAGCCCATCCTCACGCCTGACGCTAAGAACCCTTACGTCACCGAGTTCCGCAACGAGATCTACACTCCTCCTTACCTCCAGGGCAACCCTACCCGTCCTTCCAACGTCCAGATCTCCAGCAAGCAGCTCAAGGTCAACACGACCTTCAACATCAAGTTCACTGCTCCCGCCAACGCCAAGCAAGTCAAGGTCACCCTCTACTACGGTGGATTCGTTACCCACTCTCTCCACATGGGTCACCGCATGGCCTTCCTCGACAACACCGGCTTCAAGGCTGGCGCCACTGCCCAGAGCATCACCGTCACCATGCCTCCTAACAAGGCCGTTGCTCCTGCTGGTCCTTATGTCATCTACGTCCTTGTCGACGGTGTCCCTGCTATGGGTCAGTTCGTCCAGGTCTCATAAGTTGATGACTGAATTGAGGGTGTGGTGTGTGTTGTTCTTTACTCCTTGTAAATGGAGAGGAAAGAGGGTGGACAAAGAGATGGAAATCTATGAGCAAAATGTCGTATTGCACCTGGTCTTGGATGCTTTGAGGATTATCCTGTATGCACCCCTCACCTCGTTTTCTATTCTTCTCTCTTCTTTTGCACGCCCGAGGAGATGTGATCGTTTTGGGGAGTGCGCAGATCAGAATTATTATAGACATGATTGTTCACTCCAACATAAGCATGACAATGACAATGATGTCGAAGATTGAAGAAACAAATGAAGAAATTTGATAAACATACTTGAATCGTTGGTGTGCTTTGATTTTTAAACCGTGTTAATGATTGAGAGTGGTGATTATGCAACATACAAGTCGATATCTCCTTACCCCTTTGCCGTTCATTCAATCCCTCTTACATTCTTCTTAACCCAAACATCTCAAACATGAACATCATTGTATAAACAAGACATTACATTTTCCCCTCGAGAAACAACAAGAGGAGACGAAGAGAAAAAAAAAGGTCCCATTTTGAATCCATTTCTCACAAATGCAATCAAGCCATGTATGAATAATCCCATCCACGCCCAAAACACCTCCCTCTCCCTAGTATCACCCCCCCCATTTTCTCAAGACAAGAGAGAAAAAAACGATAACAAATGGTATATACCACTTCACTCCTCGTTCACCACCTGAATCGGCATAACACGCCCGGAATCCACAATAATCTGCAGGTCCAGCTTCTTATCCAAGTCCCCATACTCGAGCCTCTTCCACGTCACAATGCGCGCTTGATTCGTATCGATTTCAAACACGCGGAGACGGCGGTGGAAATGGTTGTAGCCGCCATACCCACCAAATCCACTACCGCCGGCATAGCACATCCAGATTTGAGGTTCGCCGGTGGTAGGGTCCTTGGCGAGGAAGCAGTAGTCGTTTACGTGGTCGTGGCCGCACGACACGGATTTGATATTGAATTCGACGAGGGCGTCTTTAAAGTGTGTATTGAAGGCGGGGGCGGTAATGGGTTCGGTCCAGTTACCCACACGATCATTATCGCGGTCGCCGTATTCAGGAAGGGGGATGTGGATAAAGGCCATGTCGAGGTGCTTGTGCGTGTAGTGGCGGTGCGCTTCCTTAAGGCCTTCGGCCGTGGTTTTGAACCATTCGATTTGGTTGGGCTTGATCCAGTCGTAGCCTCGGTAGTGCGTTTCGTCGGGCGAGTACGAGTGCGTGTCGAGGAACCATAGGGTTAGGGCCGAGTGCTTGCTGCTGTGCGCTTGAATCTCGACAAAGTAGTTGCCGACGCCATCAATCGTGTTGGTGCCTGGTTCGCTGACGGAATAGGGTAGAGAGTCGTAGAGATCCATTTGTGCGTGGCGCGAGAGGGTGCCTTCATCGTCGTGGTTACCGAAGATGGCGGCGTAGGGTATCTTGCGCTCAGCAAGGGGATCCACAATCTTGAACATGGCCTGCAGTAGTGTCAGTATTGTACATGATGAGTATAGCAGGGAGACTGTCTCACGCTTTGAACATCTGGGGCTGTGTCTCCGTTAATCTGGTCGCCAGACAAGACAACCATGTCGGGCTTCTCGTCGTCGAGCACCCGCTCGACAAACTCGATTGTTCTAGGATCAGCATCGCAGTGTCCGCCATTTGCGCCTTTGGGCTCTTCATCTCTGCACTTGCCGAGACCAGTGCTGAGATGCAAGTCGGATATCTGCATAATCTTGAATTTGCCATCCTTTCTAATCTTTGGTATCGGCTTCTCAAGCTTGACGGCTCGACCGCGCCGTATGGTGAGGCGCGGCTCTGCGCTGTCCTTGGGGCTGTCCAAGTGCAGCGGACCATTCTTGACCAAGGCCCAACCAGGTCGAGGCTCTACGGCATCGTCGCCAAACAAGATGTCGACGGCTGTTACAGCCTTTTTGGAGTCGCTGGCATGGCGCTTGAGCGATCTCTTGATCCAGACTCCTGCCGGTCTCGACTCCCATTTTTCAGATGCTTGCGCCTTTTCGCCAATGGAAGGGTCGAGTTTGCCTGTGCGAACATCGATTATGACCTTGTCGTCGGCGCCTAGCTCCTCTTCCCTCTTCCGCTTGACGTGTACATATGCCCTGCCAACCCAACCCTTGTTGAGGTAGAGGTCCTTTTCTATGCGGTGCCATATCTTTTGGTCGAGCATGCACTTGGACAGTGGGTTGATTGTCGAGCATGTCTGCACGGTAATATCGGTGATGACGAGGCCATCGTGGTGGAGAGGCAGGTGGCTGTGGACGGACTGGGGGAGGACTCGGTAGCGGTTGTCAAGGAAGAAGACTGTAAGGGAAAGGAGAATAGTGAGGGTGACGAGCTGGATGCCCGTGCGGACCTGTGGTGGTGAGCAGGCAGCCAAGTGGTGGGGTGTTGAAGTACCTACTATTCGGCGCGTCATGGTGGAGGCCGTCGAGGGTGCGAGTGAAGGGTCATGAAGCCAGAGATGTGTCTATGAGAGGGTTGCTTGGCAGCAGGTGGGACTCATATCCATGGTACAGCGCCTTTATTCGGATATGTTGAAGCACAAATATAGAAGGAGGGGCGCATGCGCAGGCGAACAAGTTGAGAGAGGCGATGTGTTGGTGGGTGAGAGCGGGATGCGGGCAACGGTGCTTGGCTCCAGGCTGCTGGGATGCACTCTCGGGATGATCGATGACATGACAGGGGCCAGCAAGACTGGCGATTCCAGAAACCTGCACTGGATACGCACACGAATAACTTTTGGTAGAACATTCCCAGCAGAACAAGCATCTCAGACCAAAATATACATGTACTACATTTCTGTATGATGCACCAAAGCTAAGCAAGCATCTTCCTAGTCACACGTGCTGGGGCGCCACTGAATACATGTCTCGCTTGGTAGTAGTGGTATTGCGGAGAAGACCTCACCTCCGCGCCGCATCTGCGCCTTTCTTTTTGCACAAAGCCATGCGACGTTCCCCCCTCCACCTCCTGCAACATCTTCCCTTGAAAACGCCTGCTCGCCACTTTACAAGCGGCTCTGGCTTGCGTCGCACATTCAAAGGCAAGACCTCCGGCCACTCGGACCCGACGCCGCTCACAATTGCGCAGAAGGCGACCTGGTGCTTTTGCGCGAGAAGAAGGATACCCACGATGGTCGTCTTGTCAAGCTGCAAGCCTCTAAGTCTACAGGCACGCATTTGGGCGTCGTCCAGCATGCCGACATAATTGGCAGACAGCCGCGCCAAATAATCCAATCCAGCAAAGGCGCCTCATACCGCATCCATGATCCTACACTGGCCGAATATGTCAGGCTTACACCCCGTCTTGTCACTCCGGTGTGTGCCCCTCACTCTAAGAGTCCCAATCTGTTTCTCCAATGCCAATACGCCTAGATCTACCCCTCCGATGCAAACCTCATCGTCTCCCTGTTCGACATCAACGTAGACAGGCCCTCTACTGGCCTGAACACCGATCCGCCGCTTGAAATACTCGAAGCTGGTACCGGCCATGGAGCCTTGACCCTCCATCTTTCGCGAGCCATACATTCCGCAAATCCCCCAATTCCGAGAGCGCCCGCTCATAGTGGCAGCGAAGACGGTCCAGAAGACGCCGTCTATCTCGGCGAGTCTGTGAGTGATCTCCAGCACTCGTATCTAGAGTCGTGGAAACAAAGTCGGCGCGCCATTCTACACACGCTTGATGTATCGCCCAAGTATTCTGCGCACGCAAAGAAGATTGTCGAAGGCTTTCGTCACGGCATGTATGCGGCAAATGTCGACTTTCACGTTGGAGACGTATCCGAATGGATCTCCAAGCAGAGAACGACGAGAAAAACTCAGCAGCCCTTCCTGAGCCACGTCTTTCTCGACCTTCCTAATCCAACTCACCATCTTCCCAACGTAGCTCCTGTCTTGCACGTCAACGGTCTACTCGCCGTTTTCAACCCCAGCATAACCCAGATTGCCGAGTGTGTCGAAGCAATCCGCGAGCAAAAGCTGCCATATCTACTCGAACAAGTCGTTGAACTTGGTGCAGGGACAATTCGCGAATGGGATGTCCGCGCCGTAAAGCCAAGAGCAACCTTGCAAAAGTCAAGTGCAGAGCAGACTTCAGCCCCATCACGCAATAGAAGTCAAGACTCGGAAACCGAGCAAGCCGCCAGAGATGGCGAGCTCGAAGCAGCTCTAAACAAGGAGAAGGAGGAGGAAGAAAAATGGGCCATGGTATGTCGTCCCAAAGCCGGCCAGCAAGTCATCGGAGGCGGCTTCCTCGGTCTATGGCGCCGCATGGAACAATCTAGTTAAAAAGATCAATAATACAGCCAAACTACAGGCTAGTGTATATCATTAAAACATTTCCAACCTCTCAAAAAAAAATTATTACAAAAAAAGCCACTATACATAAACCAAGATCTCTCTCTATCCCAAAGAAAAAGAAAGAAAGGAGGGAAGGAAGGTTTCAAAAATGCTCCGTTTGCCAAAACCCCATATTCGTCGGTGCTCCTTGCCCCAAAAACGTCTCATCAAACCCAAACCCATACGACCCAATCAAGTCATACATGTTGTACTCATTCACCGGATCAGCACTGACCTCATGGCTCTGCGTAGCCGCCTTGACGGGATCGAAAATCTGCGACGTAGCCGGCGACGGCGCCGTGAAATTATGCGATGTATTCGCCGACGGCGTGCCCGCCGCTACATCAATTCTTTTCAGTAGATCGTTGATACCCTGCACGATATGCCGAGTGATGTGTTTCTTATTCAGAGTATCTGCTACTTTTGCTAAAAAGGAGGCGGAGCGACGGGACAGCGAGAGGACTTGATTGATGTTGAAATTTAGACCGAGACCCAGGGGTTCGGTGGCCCATTCGGGGGACTGGGCTTGGGCGACGCCGCCCCAGGTTTTTGCGATTTTGAGGAGGAAGGTGGCGCTGAAGGCGAGCATGGTGTGGGTGAAGATGGGGACGGCGGTCATGGCGCGGCGGAGGTCTGGTTCTTCGAAGATGAGGGTTAGGGTGCTTGTGGCGGCGGTGATGGCGATATTGGCGGCTTCGCGGCGGTCGTAGGAGAGGGACTCGGATGTTGTGGCGTTCGGAGGGGGGAGGGCTCGGAGGGCGAGGGAGTTTAGTTGGAAGCGGGCGAAGTGGTAGTATAGGACTACTCCTTTTGAGGGGTATGAGCCTATTGCGGGGCTATCTGCGGATTTTGCTTGCCATGCTAGGCGCCACTGCTCAATGGCAAAGTTGAAGAGGCGGAGTTGCTGGAAGTCGGGCTCGGTAAGTGGTTGCTCTGGGTCGCTGCCATAGACAACGTAGGCTTCGGTCAGGATCTTGAAGAGCGTAACTTGAGCTCCGAGTCGAATATCGCCAGGCGTGGTCTTGGGACTGTCGAGGAACCGTTCAATATTCTTGACTGCAACGTCGTCGTGCACCATTGACGGGCGTCCATACGCGATACTGAATTGGTGGTCACACACGTACAGTGTAAGCCACAGCCTGACGTTATCCCGCTGATCCTCGTGGCCCCGCATCAACTTCTGGTAAGACATATGCAAATTCATTTCTACCGCATTCCTAATTGCAATTCCGGCGAGTTTCCAGCTTAGGTTGGGGACGTAGAATGCAGCAAGCGCCAAGGCACGTATGTCGTCGAGATTCTGGGGCCGCGCGAGCGTAGCACTGTAGACTAGCGATACAAAGATGCCGTAGCACTTTTGCAGCGCCTCATCCTGTCCCGGCGTGTGCAGTGCTGATATCGTCAGGACAGCTGCTGTTAGCAGCGTCGAGTGGCGCCGCACTGCACTTAGTGAGTTGTATGGAAACAGCACGCCAGCCCATAGATACAACCGCATATCTTGCATGTATCGCTGGAACAGCTCTTCAGCTTCCCGCAGGGATACGACGCCTTGAGCTATAAAGTCCTCGTCTACAGAGTTTGAGTTGGGCTTCCACCGTGCGCTGCTCCGAAGGTTCCGGATTCGCGTTAGGTCGTACAAACTTCTCATGGGCGCCGTCACCAAGCCAGACTCTTCGCCGGAATCGCGTTCAACAGAGTTGTCGCGCGTCATATCCATCAGAGGAGGAACCAACAGCGTAGTGTGGCCACTCTCCGATATGACATTAGTCGGCGTCACAGTCACAGTCTGTCCTGATGGCGGCTGAGGCGATTCTTCTGGCGGGCTATCCAGGCCTGGGAGTTTATTGTGCGCGAGCAGACGCTGCACCGCTGTGCGCATGCGTGCCATTTCAGCGGACGCTTTTGCTTTCCAACTGCGAAACAACTGATTAGTCTTCCCATTCTCTTCAAATGCTCTTTATGCAGAGGCTATCTTCTGGGTGTATTTACGCAACATCTTCGTCAAGAATGCGCTGGTTCATGTTGTACGGCACGCATTCGGTGCCGCTTCTCAGACACTTTGCGCATTTTGTCTCATTGTCTACTGGCTCGCATTTGATCTTGTGTCTCTTGCACTCTGCACCTGTTATTCATTGTAAGTAAAGAATAAAGTTAGGGGCAGCCGACTTGACGTGTATGTATGTGTGGGTCGTCGGGGGGCTCCTTTCGACTCACAAGCTCTAATCCTCGGCGTGCGTGGAGCTGGCCGACGCCCATCCTCATGGTCCGCATCGTCGCTTGGACGCTTCAGTGGAGACATTTCCATGCCATCGGGTCCCCTCGCTCGTAAAATATCTTCGGAAACCGTTTGCGGACTTATGTCTCGATGCGGCATGCAAATCACACAAAAAAAGGGTGCTTTACGGCGTCATGTTTGCGCCTCGTGACTTGGCTGGAATTTGGTAGCGGGAGGTGTGGATGTCACCGGGGCGGAAGCTGGCCCCACACCACCAGCCATCGTTACGCTTTGCCTGTCTGGGCGAAACTGGGGGGTTGTCGTAACGAAAGTCAGCAACAATCCGGGGAGGCTGATATCTGTTTTTTATTTTTTCAGAAAACTTTGTCGTCCCATTATTACTACCGGTATTCATTGTCGATACGAGTTGGAAGGACGACAAAAATGCTGCATATATGCAAGATCGTGCTGTAAATCTACGTACTACTCGTGTATCTGGCGTTTCACGCGGCTTCCTTAGCAATATAGTAGGCATTACTAAGTACAACTCTTGGCCTTAATTTACAAGCCGATGGCATTTGCCGTGTTTCTCCTGAATCCACACAGCCAGTCATTATATTTAGAACAATGTTGGTTCGGGCCTCTTCGGTTCCGGTCCCGGCTTCATATCTAGTAACTCACATTCCAATTCTACTGTTGTAGTTTTCTCGATGTCGTTTTGTGAACTTGAGATGGTACAATCTACGTACGACGAGTTGAAGAGAAAGCCGGTAAAGAAATGTACATGCGTCCATCCGGGCGACTAAGAATTGGTCTTTGGCCATCAACTGGACGACGATGAGATCTTCTGTATCTAACGTGACGATAGACACTATATTGGAACGTGGACTCTTGCACGACTACGGTCTGAGCTGGGCCTCAGAAGTGAAGGATAAGTGGCTACGATGGTAATGAATGCTGATCTCTGTACAACGTAATTATTTTGTAAAACGCTAAGCTGCTCTTATAATGCAGTTCTAATGCTCTGACCTCTACTACAGGCTGAAATCAATTGTTGCCCTGCTTCGCTAGCCCCACACACCTTCCTTTGAACGGTACGATATCTACACATACAGTTGAGAATGGCTATCTGCAGTTGTCGCCACTGGAATCACTACAATAAAAAAAATAAAGGGCCTTGATGAAGTTCTCTGAACAGTTCTAAAGTTACTCCAGCTGTCTCCACGTTGATGTGGACAACGACCAGGAAATCTATGTTCAGAACCGCGCCACAGTACTGCAGTTTCTCACGCCATGTGCCCTTCAACATGTGGTGTGCCAAGCTGCCAATATTCTTAAGCGGGTAGTCTCTTATTGGAAGGTCGCATTGGACAATCAGAGAATCCGTCAGCGCTTGCATCAATGCATGCACACTGCTCCTCAGGTCTGCTCTTCCTACAGCGACGACTGTCTTGATTGGATAGCAACCACCGCCAGTTGTGGCGAACCAATTCCATCTTGGAAGAACTGAAGGTTGGGATCGACGTGTGTATGCTGTCTAATTAAGCTATGCTATCTTCCGACTTACTACCGCTTTCTTCCCGTGGTCCCTGTGCAAGGCTGCATCTCTTGCTCCGCCGTTTTGCCTTCGTTCGGCAATGTTCTAGTCAACTGAAGGACTTGCCGAATTCTAGAGTATGCGTGCATGTTTCACGGGTTTACCTGCAATGGAAATCCTTTGAGCGCATGGTATCTGGCCGGTTGAAAGAAACAGATAAAAAAAGTCAAGTACTATTTGTTCTCTTAACCATCTCAACCACCATCATATCGTATTCAGATCTCGATCATTTCGCCATGGCACCACCACACTGGGTAGCCACTTGCATCCTCTTGGCTTTCTCACCAGTGGTTATTCTGTCTCAACCTTCCCCATCCCTTGATCTCGAACCAGCAGCCACCTCCGTTCATGCCACTGCACCTGCAGGCGCGGCGCTGCAGGAGGCTGAAACTTTTCAGCTTACCGATGCAGTGATCGATCGGCTTGCCTCCGACAAAGCTACTGCCAAATACGCTGAGTACTTTGCATTCGACAACAGCAGTATTGCCAACCCTACACACGTGCGACGGGCTGCTTCTGCAGCTTGCAGGACTTTTCCCGGAGACGCAACATGGCCTAAGAAACCCATCTGGGATGTCTTCAATGCTCTTCTCGGCGGAGCATTGATTCCGACCAAGCCAGTTGCAGCATCATGCTACGATTCTATATGGGGGAAGAAAGACCCCGCACGGTGTGCAGATGTTTCAACAAACTGGACCAACGCATACTTTCATACAGATGACCCAACATCCAGTAAGGCCAAAATCACTCAGACTGAATTTTCAATTTCCCGCTGACTTGATCCGCAATCCATAGACATGTGGCCTATCTACCAAGGCAGAACTTGCATACCAAAGAATGATACCAATGATAAATCCTGCACTTTAGGCGGCTTTCCAGAATACTCAGTGAAGGTAACAAACGTGGCACAAATCCAACTTGCTGTCAACTTTGCTCGAGTCGCCAACCTTCGTCTCATTATCAAGAATACTGGGCATTGCTTTTTGGGAAAGTCGACTGATGCTGGTGCTCTCAGCTTATGGATGCACAATATGAATAAGATTGACTTCATTCAAGACTACGAGGGACCTGGCTATTCAGGACCCGCATTTAAGCTCTCTGCTGGTGTCCTCGTCAGACATGTGTATGAGGCTGCAGAAAAACATGGCGTGACGGTACTAGGGGCTGTATCTTGGGTATGTGGTTGCAATGACGATTCTAGAATTGCATACTAACTGTTTTCAGAGTGTCGGTTATGCTGGCGGTATGATCACAGGAGGAGGACAAAACCCGTTAGCCGGCATCTACGGCATGGCAGCTGATCACGTCGTGGCTTTCCAAGTCGTCACTGCCGATGGACGTTTTATTACCGTATCAGAAGAATTAAACCCGGATCTTTTCTGGGCACTAAGAGGTGGTGGCGGCGGTACATTCGCCATTGTAACGTCAGTCATTATTCGGGCACACCCTAAATTGAACGTGGTCGGTTCGAGCTTCTACCTTGACGCTTCAAACAACAGTCTTGAAGCATTCTGGGATGGCATCAAGAAATATTACGAGTTTTTCCTGAACTGGGCCGAGGCAGGCCTCTATTCCTTCTTCATCATGGGCAACACTCCAGCTCCATTCCTCAGCGCACGATACATCTTCGCCCCGAACCACACTTTGGAATCATACAACAAAGTCGTCAAGCCTTTCTTCGACTACCTAGACGCCAAGAACATCACCCTCACCCAGCCCCACGTCGCCAAATCACACAGCTCATTCTACTCAGCCTACCAAGCCGCATGGGGAGTAAACCCCTTCCCCATCGGACGAGACGACTCCATGGCAGGCAGCCGAATCATCCCCAAGCGCAACTTCCAAGAGAAATTCAACCAGACGTTTGCACTCATCAAGGAGCACGTATCTGCCGGCAAGCATCTCCTCGGATACCACAAGGCACCAAAAAAGTACGCAAATACCAACAACGCAGTGCACCCGGCGTGGCGCGAATGCGGCATGTTCATGGTTACTTCGACCAACAAGTCTCTGGATCACTCTACGCCAGAAGCTCTCGCCATCGCTAGCAAAGATCTCCAGGAGAATATCCTGCAGCCTTGGCGCGATATCTCACCTGTTTCTGAGGGCGGCGGTACGTACTTGAATGAGGCGCATGTTGATGAGGAGGACTGGCAGGAATCGTTCTATGGTGGGTACTACCCTAGACTCAGCGAGATTAAGCAAAAGTGGGATCCGAATGATGTGTTTTATGCTACTACTGCTGTGGGAAGTGAGAGGTGGAAGGTCGAGGATGGGGAGCAGGGCGTGCAGACTCAGAATGGGAGACTGTAGGGTTTGATGGTACGTAGTGACGTTTGGCATGAATAATGCAATGACTTTTTGGTTGTTGGAGTTCATTTCAAGTCCCAGCCTTGATTTAATCGCTACATCCATGAGTCTCCTTTTATGTTTAATTTTTAAAGCATAAACTCCCTTCCCAAGTTTAGGCTATTCGTGACTGCATGACCACCAAGCATCCTTATCATCAAACTCTCAGCAAGCTGAGATGAGCTACAATCAGATATAGCTCAAAGTATTCACCAAAACCTTGCATACCAACCACCTACCTCGACCCACTTTCCTCAACGACCAGCGCATCACCAACCTCCTCAGCCCCTCGCCACCAACAAGCCCCTCTCATACAACCCGGTGACAATACTAACATTCCTCCTCGCATCCCTCGCAAAAGTCGAACTACTACAAAACTCCCCTCCATCATTCTTATACAATGTCTTGACACCCTCCTCCTCACTCCACTCGGCCGTCCAACTCGACGTCGTACACTCGCACGCCTTCCTCTGCCCCTCTGCACCCTGCTCATCGCACTTGGCCCTCGCCTTACTCACAACCATGAGGCCCAGCGCAAACGGGTGCCCCGCCATCAGCAACTTGCCTGCAGAATCGACAGCAATGTTGTCGACCATGAAGGGGAGCCGGATCTGCTTTAGCAGCTTCAACTCTACGTTTTCTTCATCGAATGTGTAGAGGTAGATTGCAGGTTTGGAAGTCGACGCCACCGCCACGGTGGTTGAGTTGAGCATAGTGATACCATTTGCAAATGCTACGTGCGCTAGCTTTTTGCTTTGCGGGGGGTCGTGGGTATCAACGTAGACGATACTGCCGCCGGGAGCGGCAGAAAAAGTCTCGATTTTGGAGAGGAGGGGGGATGTTAGTGCGCCGATGTAGTGGTCGTTTGTCATGAGCAGCTTGCCGTCTCCGAGGCTGTGGATCGAGTTTGGGGTGTGGAGCAGGGGGTGCGTGAGCGTCTTGATGTACGTTGCAGAGGCATTTTTCGGGGAGATTTGGAAGAGGTCGAGGGTGTTGCCTGAGTGCCGGGAGTGGTTGATTACGTAGAGGGTGGAGGTTTGGGCGTCGAATTCGATGCCTAAGGGGTGGAAGTCTGAGGGGTAGGGGTAGGAGACGAGGGTGAGGGGTTTGAGAGCTGCGGAATCGGGAAGGTTGGGCGTGGAGTAGTCGTAGAGCCAGATGTGTGCGTCGTCTTGGTCGCTGATCTTTGTGCGAGGCGGCGCAAATGTGCCCTGCGTAACTTTCAAATCAACTACTTATTCGAAATCGGTCATTCGAATGTTCTGGCCAGCCTCCCTCCCTTGAGAGATTGCCCGCTGGGGTTATCCTTACCATGACGGTATTCCATTGGTCCCTTCCTGGGTTGCAGCTCACGAAAGCAACACCCATACCCTCCTCAATCAAGACATCTTCGCAATTTCGCATCCGCTGGGCAAACTTTACTTGGTGCTCTTTGAACAGATTAAGGTTCTCGAATTTCCCCGGTCGGTTGGCGAACATGCCCGAGAAGGTGACGCCGCGGTCGTAGAGATAAGGCCCTATCACTGCGAGCGCGACGAGGTACTGCGTGATCGGTTAGTAGCTGTGTCCATCTATCGGCAACAGGAAGCCGTACAAGTGATTTGGTCGCCATAGCTAAAGTCGTATACTACAAGCCGTGTTGATTGCGGTGCAAAAGAGCCGAACTTGATTAAGATTATTTTGTGCTGACACGCCTAGGTAATAACTTTTCTGTAGGCCCAAGAGGGTAACATGTGTTGCGTAACGTCATCGCATGCACCGTCAGCAATTAGAAAGTCCGTCGAACACGTTCGTGCTTCAACTTTTCTCCGCTGCAACACAAAGGCTGGATTGGTATAAGGTTCGGCGCAAAAATGGCTCCGTACTTCCCCTTCTAGACGTCTAGGGCCGGTCGATCCGCATCGAACGAGTCCATGTTGAAATGGCGCGCATCTACGTGTATTTCCGAATTGGGAGTAGCGCTTGATTACACGCATCACCCCAAGATCTGAACTCCCTTTCTTTTTGTGGAAACGACTTATTGCAATTTGCGTTACAACGCTTGATGCCATGGTTACAATGAAGGGTGGTTCTGCAAAGTAATCTTTAGTGCTGTGATGTTGGGCTTTTAAGACAGGGTTACTATAACACTATTTGGAACTGTGCTTTGCTTGTTGACCCACATTGATCTTACCTTTTTGTAGTAAACATTTTGTTTGCAAATTCACTCACTATCACGGTTGCTGATTATTTTGCTGATATTCATTCGCGTGGTTCGCAGATCCTGTAATACCGCAGACAGTGCACGTACGGTGTAATCTCCCAGCAACAGCCGAGGAAATGATTCCGCAGCCCCGCAATACTTGGCTCCCACACTATGTGGAGAGAGGCATTTTAGATACTCATCAACTGCAAACTGTATATGATCTCATAATCGGGCTACTAATCTATGACATGTTGAGATCCGGCATCGGGGTGACATGTACCGGAAGTTTGGAATTCGGGATCATTGCGCTGCTTGAAGGATCTGCTTCATATTTATTGCAAACATCCCACCTACCAGGTTGAACAACGTGCGGATGAAGTTTAGATTTTGCTTTTTCTTGTAACCGGGCAATATCGGGGATGCCTACAGTACATGGCAAAAGGAATTTGACAACTGCTAACGGATGATTGACGGAAAACATTATCCACACCTTATTGACAGTGATTACAAGTGCTGGGGTTATACCGTGTGTATCATCAAAACGATACAAGAATGCTATATCGTAAGTAGAAAAAAAGATTTGACTCTGAGAAAGATTGAAGGTGGTGATTGCGTCTTGAAATGCTCTTCCTAGAGCTCTGTGATAGTCATGTAATTGATAGTCAAGACCAGACTCAACAAAGCAAGGGGTTTTCTCTAGGAATAGCAGCCCAAAGGACGGAATAGGGGCATCATACTAACATATCGTGTATACGTAGGTTGACTAATGAGAGGCGAGCGGCGCAAAGCCAGCAGAGCTGACCCTGCGGGATCCGGGTGTAGTGGCACCAATGAACCGGGAAATAGCGCGTATTGCTAACAACCCCTCACCGGACCCCCCAACCCCGGTAGCGTTAAAGAGGCGGCGACTTGTGCGTTCGTAATGGAGTTGTTGACCTCAAATTGCAACCTTCTTGTAGCGAGGATTCCCTTGTCGAACTATTCTACCAAGCCGTGCACGTTGATAAGACATGGGTGTTGAACACCGGGTCGCTATTGTTACAGGGGGTAACAGTGGCATGGGGATGGGGATATCCCGGGGACTTATAGAGAAGGGATGGAAGGTAGCCATTGCGGATATTCAAGAGAACAGGGAACTTGCTGAAGAACTGGGTGGTGCTGCCAGTTTCCACAAGTGCAATGTGGCAGACTATGATAGGTGTGCACATTTGCAGGTTGACCGACACGAGTGCTGACTGAAGAAGTCAGGCCGAGATGTTCCAACAGGTGTGGGATCGCTATGGGAGAATAGATGCGTTGTGCGCCAATGCCGGCATCGTTGACAAGAGGCATGTTCTGCTGGAGACGTGCTTCAATCAATGCTGAAATAGTGTAGCTCAATCTTCATTTTCGAGCACCGCGGATCTGACAAGTAAGACCTCATTGTGATACCCACTCTTTTTCCACTAACTGTGAGAGAATCCCACCGAAACCAGATCTGGTATGCACCGATGTAGACTACAAAGGCGTCGTGTACGGTACACAGTTAGCAATCCACTTCTTCCGCAAGAACAAAGTAGCCGGCGGTAAAATCATCGCTACGGCCAGTGTTGCTGGGATTGTTCCCCATGAATCTTTTCCAGAGTATGATGGAGCCAAAGCCGCTGTTGTCAACTTTGTACGGGCAACGGCACGCATACTGAAAGCCGTGGGTTTCGCGAGCAGACCAGGGTCATGGAGTTTGTACTGACAAATGGTAGAAAGAGAACATCCAGATCAATGCAGTATGCCCTGGTGAGTATAGCCCAAACATCCTCTGGTCCGAGCAAAAGAGCTGAAAGTGTCAGGCGTTGTGCAAACGGCCATTTTACCGCAGGGGTTGGTTGATGCCGTATCGGCAGAATGGTGGGTATATGTACTGTATCAGAATGATTGATTGACGGGTCGCAGTTTAACACCTGTATCCATTGTTGTGAACGGGTTTGAGAAGTTCCTCGAGGACGACACCTTGTATGGCAGGGTATTGGAGTGTTCAGCAGACAAGCACTTTTTCCTCGAACCACCCACGCTTGCCAATGGACACGTGTCTAGAAAAGCCGTCACTGTGTGGGAGCCAGCATTCAAGATGTAAGTGCTGTGTTGAAATCCATTGCCTGGCTGACATGTGATTCAGGTATCATGGGGAGAATTCTGGATTGTCTGATGCGATTCCTTGAAAGAGGGGTGCGAATAGGCTTTAATGAGCATACGCGTTCCAGTACGAGAGAACCAAGACGGTGCACAGATCATTACACGGATGAGGAATTAAGGCTGGAATGTTGCAAGTGAGGGGCATAGTCAGATTCCAGATGATCGGTCGATTTACGATGACAGTGCGGGTAGGTAGCGAGGTGGGCGAAGACGTTGTAAGCTCGCCACGCTTCGGTTTAGATGCCTTGTCGAATGTTAATTACTTTTCAACGTGGTTCGGGTCGGCCGGGAATGACTGTGTCAATTTTGCTGTTGTTGTGGAGAGCCGAAGAGTGAGCACTATGAGTTCAACAAGGATGGCGGCCTGAAAGCCCTTCACGGATTCGAGAGAGAAGGAAGCGATGGCAGGTTTGATGCAGAAAACCTTGCCGGATCAGGGAACTGACGGTGGGTGGAAAAGTCTGCAGCGGGTGCATGCTGATAGAAACGGAGGATGACAGACTAGGTGCATGCTGCAGCCTTAGCAGCCAGGCCAGGACGAGATGGAATTACGGGTAAGCGTGCTGACCACCAGGCCTCCTGTGGCTGTCTACATGACGAGTTGGAGAGAGTAATGGTGGCCTAGTCTGGTAGCTCAGCTTGATTTTGCAGAGTGGTGGTGGACAGCTGAAGCGAGTATACGGTGTGGGCTTGGGAGGTAGTGGTAGAGATAGGTCGAGCGGACATCACGGCATGGAGCAGAAAGGGGTGTGTGTGCGGAGTGGCTTATTGGCTTGGCGATATGGTGTACATAGAGTGTTGGATGACAGGACAGGACAATGGCGAGATCTCTGCTTGGACGGCCGATGGCGAGGCTAGCGCTAAAGCATGCTGTCAATAATAGCGATGGTAATAAATCGACGTGTTAAGGATGGCATGGAAGTAGGATCGAGGGCAGAGTTGGTGCAAGTCTCTTTCCAGCAGCTTCTGCGATATTGTACTATGGGTCGGGGGCGAGAGGCTAAGAGTCTGACTGCAACAGCCGTCGTCCATCAGTGGTTGGGGAGTCAAGTTATGCGCAAGTGGTGGACCAAATACTAAGTTCTATTGCCATGCAAGGGTGAAGGGGCTTGGCGGGCCGTATTGGGTCTCGGCCACGCAAGAATGAGGGCGTCCCGTTTTTCTGGCCAGAACACCGTCCGGGCTGGTTACTGGATATTGCAATGCACTGACCGATGGATTCCCGGCCTATCATAGCCGGCTGCCAGCAGTCAAATCCAAAGGTCCCGCAGGGCAGCGGGACAGATGCGTGGCGCAAGTTAGCAGGTCCGCCATGGGGGCGTGGCGTGCAATAATTCCCACTTGCCATGGCAATCATCATAAGGGCTGGCTGCTCCCGTGCCTGACTGTCTTCTGGATGCTGCAAGACTGTTTTATTAACGGCTGTTTGGACAACGATCGACACCTACGACCCAGTCGCACCAACTGCTTGTCAATCTTTGCTTTTTTCCTCCATCGCCGTTGACAACCCCTGGCGACCCGCTAAAAAAGCGTCCGACACTTGGGCTGCTGCTGCAGGTACCCGGAGCGAAACATCGAAACCAAAAGACAGACATACTTGCGCAGGCCGTCAGCCGCGTGCGTGTGCGAGTCGTCTGGCCGGCATTATCCAAACAAGAGACGGCCATGGGCTGCATGAAGTTGCTGCAATTCCCTGGATATTAAATATCGGATCGCCCGCCCATCTATTAAAATGGATTCCCAATCTGCTCGTACTCCCGAATCACTAGCGATCCCGTCGCACCATTCCCCCCTGCAAACCCTCCACAAGAAACCCGAGAACCGCTGGCGCTGTGTGCCCATATATCAGCGCCTGGCACCAAGGCTCGGCTCTGCCCGCGCGCTGCTCCTGCTGCTCGTTGCATTTCTATCCTGTAGTTCCCTGGCTGCTCCCGCACTCGCAACCAGAGCCCATGGTGATCGATCAGTGCTGTTCGTGGAAGACGACCTTGGATCGGCGCTGCACCCTCATCTTACCCACCACTCAAAGGCGCCGCGATTGATGCCTCCTCTACAGGGCCACCACGATGCCATCCGCTCATCTCCGCCATCCAAACGAGCCCTCGGCACCGATCCCAATGCCTCCAGTGGCGATTTCTCCGTTCCCGCGGCCTTTGATTCTGCCCTATCCAACAACTTTACCAATGCCTGTGCAAAGTTTCTAAACAACATGCGCCAAAACGAGGATTTCAAAAACTGCCATCCGTTCTCGTTGCTACTACAGGTAATTGAGTCTGTGCTTCTGTATTTGAGCGAGAATCTGACCGCCTGCAGACATCCAGCAGTTTCTTCGATGCCTCCAAATCCACCCTTCGCATTACTCAGACCCTCGACGCGACTTGCGGGGCCAACGCGTCTCAATGCAAGCCCATCATGGACAAATATGCCACGGAAATCCTTCTGGCCGACGCATGCAAAGCAGACTACGATAGCGACAATCCCATGGTGATACAGGCTTACAATGGCCTGGTTGCTTACTTGCCGTCATACCAGGCAAGTTGCCTGCACGGCAAAGACGGAAACTACTGCTTTGCAAGTGCCGTCACCAACACAACGTCTCCTGGCGACGCGTACCCATACTACCTGCCAGTTGGACAGGAACTTCCAGCTGGATCACGGCCAACGTGCAATTCATGCCTCAAGTCAGCAATGGGTGTGTTCGCATCTTACAGCAACAACGCCTCGCAGCCCCTTGCAAAAACGTATGCTTCGGCCGCACACCAAATCTCAATAGGGTGTGGCACTAATTTCCTCGATGTCACGGCTGCTCCCATCAAAAGCGCCGCACCTACAACAAGCGTATCACTTACGCCTACGATCACACTCGTCCTAATGTTTTTACTTTACTTTTTCCAGTGATGGACCGATACCCTATACATCTTTTTCTTGTACATGTACTGTTTTTTTGTTTTTACAAACCGGTCGGCTTTTTTTTGAGAGCGACCAGTCATTAGCGATGGCGCATGGGAGCGTTTGTATTTTACACGTCTACCGAATTGGATGCGGATCCTGTGTAGCGTTTGGAAGCAGAGCATTGGGCTTTGTATGCAGTAGAAAAGGGGTGGGAGATCTATACTTAGGCATGTTCATATATGGACGACCTAGCATAACGGCTCTTCCTAATCGGAACAGCGGCTTTATGGTGACACGACGGAGGAATGGAAACCCATTGATACTATACTTGAAATCAGCCCTACAATGTTTCGTGAACTCATGTCCATGCCGTCCGTTTCTCCATCTATTGGACTAGACTTGGTCGTCCAGAGTATGAAGGGCTGTCGTATTAAGCTAGCAGGGCCTATGCGCAGCCACTCAATCTATCCGCTGTGGTCGAGCACATGCAAGGCTCGCCCGGCCCATAATTTGTAAGACACATCATCGTCATCATCATCATCATCACCGTCGTCTTACTTGCTCGTGGTCAAAGCACGCGCTTCTACTTGGACGGGTTTTCGGGCGAACAACGGCGACAGTGTGGGCCCGGGAGCCACAGGTAGTACGTCAGGCATGCCTGCGCAGTGATGGGGCAAAGCCAGTGTCAGGCACAGTTTCTCAATCGACCCCGAGGCTGCTCTTTGGGAGGACTGAAACGCGTCGTGTACACATCACGTGCACAGCCAGACCCGGGGTGTCAGGATCTGGCAGGAGGAAAGCCCCTTAGGCTGTTAGACGTTGCCAATGCGCCGCATCGTCCCCGGCAGCCATGTGTCGCCCTCCGTGCTGCTGACGGTTCAACGACAACGCGCCTGCTGCATCCATGTCGACCGTTATGAATGAGGCGCATCAAGTGCGCCCAACAACGAGGCACGCAAATTGCCGTTTGCTCGCGGTTGCAATGCTCAATGTGCCGCCGCTGATCGTCCTTCTTCCCAGTATCGATACCGCCCCGCGTCCCGGTGGGGCCCGCGACCATCCTGTCATCTCAAACGCTTCTATGCGGACATGGATGATCCGCGCAGTTCCACATCCTCAGCTGTGACAGGCCACTCTTTGCCTGGTCGTCATGTCAAACGCTTCATGTATTCCGACGTCTGACCACTCAGCACGCAGACGGGGCCCCTGTCCTTTTCTACGCCTGAGACGCCCATCTTCGACGCGAGAGTTTACTATGCGCGTCCCCATCTCCTCTCACCTTCCTTCATTTTACTACCAGTCATAGTCCAAAAGGCATAATTAATCGGGCTGGCACCGGTTTGCTCGTCTTCATTGTTGCATAGTCGTTCTCTTCATTCATTGCCCCCCACGCTCTCTACCAGCTTGTGTTCGCTTTCTACATACAAACCCGTCTATCCAGACACTTCCATTCATTCGACCTTCATCGCAAACGTCGCACACACACACACACACACACTCATTACAACAATCATGTCCGACATCACAACCCAACACACCCTAGCCATTACTCCATCGTCTCGTCAAGACATTGTCAGTGCACTGCTCAGCGACTATGGAAATTCCTTTGAGCCGGACGGCAAGTCCCCGTCAGTCTACTCCCCTGCGTCAGTGACCAAGGAGCTCCCTCCGCCTCCGCCACGATCAGACAGCATCGCGCGCAAACCTGTACCTGCTTCAGAGCGAATGGATGCCAAATTCCAACTTCGAGGTGAGCGATTTTATTGAAATTTGACACGAATGAACCAACATGGTGGTGGATCTTGAGACTGCCTGCCTCGCTGGTCTGAACCATAGCTTGGGTCCACACTGACCACGTCCTGGTTTCACGTCGTCACATACTTCACCATGTCTCTGTTACTTTCGTTTCTGCACCTCACTTGCACCAACCGCTCCAACAATGATTAATGTTCCATTATGGTAGACTAACGTTCAGCAGAAGACCAAGACGCACCCCTATCGCCATCTAGCTCAGTCGGAGGCTCCCCACGACCAAGGAAGCGCATTGTGTCACGTAGCCTGTCTCGCGGTTCCAGACCGGCTTCGCTGAAGCTGACCATCAGCAACGGGTCAACAGCAACAGTCCCTTCACCATCGGCCTTTCCATTGCCGTCTCAATCCATTCCTTCACCAGTCTCTGCAGTAGAAGATCTTCCCCCGCCACCTCCACCTAAATCGGATCGAAGGGAGGAAATGGGAGGTAGAGTTTCAAAGCAAGCCAGGGAGCGGAATGATTCGCTCTTGTCGCAAAACAAGTCGAGTGACGCCTCGCCGCCAGTTGTGAAGCGCAAAGCTGTTCCAGAGGCTGTCAAGGCTTTCAAGAGCCTGGCAGAACTAGGAAATGGTCCACGAGGAAGAAAGGCCGTGCCAACAGCTCCCACGTCTGCACCCAAGAGGGAAAATATCGAGAGCAAAGTAAGTGTGAGCAAAATGGAGAACTCTCAACCGAAAAAGAATCTGCCCAATATGCAAGCTCAGCTCCCGCCAACACCCGACGAGGAAAAGGAGGATACGGCATCTTTGGCACAACCAAAGAAGGTCTTTGGTCTGCCCTCGAATCCACGTGTCAACTCTCTAGGATCGCCTGTGAACGTGCAGGGGAAGAGCAGTACAGGCTTGAGTGTATTGAAGGTATATATCTACCTCCCTTTTCCACCACCAGTACTCGTCAGATAAGATGCTTCTGCATCACGACGAAACTCTCAGGGTACTGGAGCCCTATTCCACGAGAATGAGTTTTAGTAACTAATTCGGTTTACACAGGCACAAAGGCCGGCTCCCTCACCCCCTACAGTCAACATACACGCTACTACCCCAGAGCCGACACCTTCTCCAACACTAAAACCCATTCTCGCGGAACCAGACGCTGGAATCTCACCCGTCTCGCCCTTGCCTCCCCCGACCAACCCGAGGACTTCATCCATTTACGAGCAGTCTCCTGTTGTCGCTGAGCCCATCGCCGAGCCACAGCAACAACCTCCAGTATCAATGCAACAAGAGATCAAGCCAGAATACACAAACCCTGCGCCTCCATATGCGCCAACACCACCAATCAACGCCAAGCCACCTGCTCGCATCACCTCACTCGAGTTCCCACCACGCTCTGATTCTCGTCCTTTGAGCGCGCCCTCGCGCCCCACGTCCATCAGCGTCGGCATCCCAAATATATCCCCATCTCCCGGACCTTCCATCCCTCCATCCCCCGTCGCTAAAGACAACGAACCCGAAATCGCCACGGAACCGAAAGAAGTCACGGAGCCCACCGAAGCCATGGAACCCGCAACACCTCCTCCCTTTGTGCCCCTAACCGAGCAATCCATCCCCGTACCCTCCTCGCTCGTCCCACAAGTCACAAACAAGCACCTACACTGTTACACCGGCCACGCCCAGAACATCTGGTCCAACAATGTCTTCCAGCCCATGGCCTGCATGGTCTGTCGCGAGAACGGCAAGGAACGCAAGTGGTGCTGCACATGGTGCCAACTCCGCATCTGCAAGGCCTGCAGCGACGACCTCATACGTACCCCCGCGCGCAACCTCGCTCTCTTGCTGGATGCAAAGTCGAAAGCGTAGAATGCGGTTGCGACAAACGAGATGGGCAACAAGCAGGACTTGAGCAATGGTACTGGTGCTACTGTTGCTATTTATGACACTGAGGAGATGCGATGAAGCAGCGAGAGGAGAGTTGTTGTTAGACTGGTTTTCTGATACTAATCTCGAACATATCATGTTCACCTCAGACACACATTGAAATTATGAAGAGTTTTTTTCGATTCTTCTGATGGGGCAGTGTTTGAGAAAAAAAACACCGTTTTATATGCACATATGTATAAAGTCTCTTGCGGGCATTAGATAAACCTCTTTCTGCTTTTTTTTCTTTTTCTTTTTGTACCTTTCCGCTTTTTTGATACCACAAAAGACTGATGGACCCTGTACCTGTCTTTTTTTTTCTTTCTTTCTATAGTATGGAATCATATCTTCTTTTCATTCTCTTTAATCCTTCGAAAGGTGGAAAAAAAAGAAAGAAAGAAACTAAACAGATTGGGGGAAAACTCCTCATCTAATTCTTTTCTTGCATACGCTGTAAAATACCCACAACACTCGGAAGAATCTGTTCCGCATTCTCACTCAAACGTACCGCATCCCTTGTTGCATGCCCATCTTTTATATCGCCAAAAAAAGTTTCTTCGCCTCGTACTCCACCCATATTCAGCACACCAATCGGCAAATGCATCTCTTTGGCCTTCTTGACAAGCCGCCACGCAGAATACGTAGCTAGACTACTTCCAATCACCAGCACTCTCCCCGCCGCCTCAACAGCCTGCTCAGCCGCCACCTTGGTAGCCGCAGGAATAGACTCTCCAAACATGATCACTGCAGGCTTCAGTACCCCACCCTCACTGCGCGGATCCCACGCCCCATCCTTATCAACCTGCACACTAACTTCGCTCCCATCCGCCCGCCTCGGCGGCTTCTCCAAGCACGTAGGACACGCGGGATAGCGAAAGGTAGTATATGGGGCATCAGGGATATCCACGTCACCATCCGGATTCGTCTTGAGCCCTCTTTTGCGGCGCTCAAGCGGATTCTCAGTATTCAGCGCGCCCGTCTCTAGCATTTCTGCTAGAAACGCCGCCCACGAGGGGTTTAGATGTGAAAGTTGAGATTGGAAGGTCCGTCGAGAGTACTCGTTTCGGCAGGTGAGGCAGACGAGGTTGCGGAGGTAGCCGTGGAGTTCAATGGTGGGGAGGTGGGGGTGTGTGGTTGGGTGGAAGGAATCAACGTCTGTCCCAAGTTACAACACATTAGCTAACTTTCCACCGTAATCCTTCCTTTCTTTTCTGAGAAAGAAGATAGAAGGGGAGGGGGGGAAGGGGAAAGAACGAACTCTGTGTAATCACCCCCCCAACAACCCCCAAACTCCCCAACTCCCCACACGCCACATGCGCCGCATTCGCCCTCGCACGCTCAAGATTCGTCCACCCTATGAAACTCCTAGCCCAGTACCTCTTCCTCGTCTCGTGGCTCTCACAAAACTCATTGTAGTAAATCGGGCGGTACGTTTTATTGAGCGTATACGTCCCGTTTGCGCCGCGGTAGTCTGCGAGGCCCGATGCTACGGATATGCCTGCGCCGGTGAGGAGAAGTGTTTTTGCTGGTCGGGTATTGTGGGGTGTAAATGCAGGACGCGAAGAAGGCGATCGGGAAGGCAGGCATGGCGATAAAAAGTCTACAAGAGCGGCAATGGCGCCACTGCTTGTAGTGCCGCTTGCGGGAATGATGCGAGGTGCGGGTAAGGGATCTGTATATGGAATCCGAAGGAGAGGGGCGCGGGGCATTGCGCTTTGATTGAAGCAATGAGAGGAAAGGGAAGGGAAAATGACGGAGTCTTTTTTTTTCGGCTGCGACTACTATCGGTCAATCATCTTGAGTTTCGTTGTGCGAATTGTCGATGGGGGGACGGCAATGCTTCAGAACAAGGTGGTTATGTCATGATGCTTGTTTAGCGCCAAATCGGCCTTTTGCGGGTGCGGGTGTGCGCCATGCGCCAATCGCGTGGCCGTAGTTTGTTGCTGTCGCGTGCAGAGTGCAGACGGCGGGAAAGGGTGGGTCGTTGCCGCATGCACAGAATTGAAATATTTATTTTTAGTGAGGCTCTGCGAGAGGGTATGCATGAAATCGCTAGGCTGTCTTTTTCTTGTGTGTGCTTATGTTTGGAAGTTTGTGGGGTCAAAGGATTACTATGGCGGAGGCTGTGTATGCGGCTCGGGGCTGTGCGCTTGTGTAACGAAGATGATACAGGGTCGACTCAACGATAGCGGGGTCTGGGAACGGTGTGTTCGTAGCTGGTAGGCAGCTAGTAGTGTGGTTCTTTTTGTACAGCTACAGGTTGGTGATACTGTCAGTACAGTTGACATACAAGTTTGTACAATAAGTAGTCAGATGGAAAGTGAAACTCGGTCATATACTGGAAGATGCGCCAGGAAGCATCAAGATGACACGAAAAGAAAGAGATAACATTGAAGAGAAGCATAAGAAATAATGAAAAAAAAAATACACGAGTCCATCTCCGCATACCAAAGAAACGTCATCCTAGTATCTGCGAACATATATCGAAAAAAAAGTTAAAAAATACGAAAGAAATAACCCCATGCTAGTATAGATCTTGATGCAAGAGAATGTCCTGTTGTCCGACCCTATTACGGTCCTCTGCTGTTCCTTGCGAACAGATCGAGTGTATAGAACGACTGCTATGCTAGCCAGTCTAAATCACCTATGTAGGTGTATATCTTGAAGAGAAGCTACGAGATGGTAGTGATGGGTATCGGTGCGTTTCTGAAGGGTATTGGTACAGAAAAGAGAAAGCTACCGGGTGAAAAGGTAGCCATGAGAGTCGTAACGATCGTGAGAAATGAGATGTTGAAGGAAAATAAGTAGGAAAAAAGGGCAAGGTCCGGTAGCGCCGATGTCAACCGTCTATTGCGGGTGCGATAGCTGATGCGACGAATATGCCATTGACTGGCTGTGCATTGGTTGTTGCATTGGCTGTGACATTGACTGTGGCATTGGCTGCTGGAGTGGCTGCTGCATGGGTTGCTGGATTTGCTGAATGGATTGCGGCATGGGTTGTTGGATCGACTGTTGCATAGGTTGTTGCATTGACGGCTGCATAGATTGTTGCATTGACTGCTGCATAGGCTGTTGCATATGATGCGAATGCTGTTGCATCGGGTGCAGCATAGATTGGATGCTGGGAACCCGCTGATGCTGTGGTTGTGGGTAGCCAGAGTACGGAGAGTAATGGGGTTCGGAGATTGAGGACATGTGCGACATGCCACCATGTTGATCCTCTTGTTCTTCTTCGAGGTCAGAAATGCCTATTCCACTGTCTTCATAGTCGTGGTAGGTACCATTCTCGAGCTTCTTGTGGGCCGACCTAGCGGCCTGCGTAAGATTCTTAAGTCCCTTCTCCATGCACTGAGGTCAAATCAGTATTGCACTACAAAGGCCCTAGCTTTTACAAACAAACTCACCTTTGTCTCAACCAACTGCCACTTTTCTCCAACACGGGCGGCGAGCAAACTCCACATTTCTTGCCGCACGTCCATGTAGGCTTGTGCTAGAATCTCGAGCTTGACGCCGTCCCATTGCTCCGCATTCTGCCTCTCCATCAACCGCTCGTGGCGTTTACGGCAGGCATTTGGAGTCTTGGAAGGGAAATGCTTTGGTCCGATCTGGTTCCAGTTGAGGCCTTGGGCTCTGGCGCGGATAAGTGTTTCGTCATCCTTGGTGGACCAAGAGGAGCTTCGAGTTCCGCCTGCAGCCGATGAAGTCGACACGGAATGGCGATGCGACGGACCCTTGTCAATCTTAGGCATTGTCGACCAATTGTGTGAGGAGACAAGCAAGAGAAGAACGTGATGACAGGAATAGAGATATGGAATGACGCGCTGACAGGAAGTAGAAGACAACGATTGAGAGTGATGGAAGCGGCCAGATAGCGGATTATGATTAGAGTAGACCAAGTCGGTGGAGAATGAGAGTGACAGAGTAAGAAGGAAAGATGGGAGATGGCCTGACGAGTGATAATGAGAGAACCTGTAGTCGTACCTGTTGGAGTTGGGCTGTCTGAAGATGCATCAAGGGGCATGGCGAGCATCTTTATACAATAAGCCACATACAGAGCCTCCATCCACAACAAAGGCCGTCAGGCCGGCCGGAGAATTGTTTTGAAACCAGGACATGTTTCTGTAATCGCCGGATCGATCTGCCATGTACCGAGAATGGTATGTGTGACTAGGCGAAGAGGAGGCTGTTCACTGGGTCACGACTCCAAGCGCCATGAAAGAGGGCCAGGGCTGGCCAAAACTGGGCCTGTGAGTGGTCGGCGCACAAAAACGTGAGCGGTTCGTCCCCTCGAGCAGGGGAGGGTGCCTGCAACGGAAGCGCCTGTTTGAGAATACCCACTGTGCAGCCAGATGCGGCTGTGTCTAAGAATAATTCGAGTACCGAATGGAGGGGTAGCGGTAGAGGAAGGGGGAAGCGATTTAGGGGCGGCTAATCTGGCGCTGATTCGACCAGGCTTCAAGGCCCAAATAAAGACCTTGGCAAGCGACAAACGAGCAAGGGGTGCGTCTTTTTGGTCAGACGTGTGTATGTAGGGCGCTGTAGTCATCAATACTCTGTAGGGCTGAGCTCGGGGACCTGCAGAAGAGTGCATGTCGCAAGTCGCATGTCGCAGAAAACCACGTCCAAGTGCAAGGCCCGCAGCCTGATCCAGAAAAGGAATGCCCACGGAAGAGTCGCCCAAGGTCAAGAGCGTGCGAGAGAGACCAGGCTGCGAGAATAGCAATCCAACATACACGGGCCGAGCAAGATGCCTTGCGACCCACCGAGAGCGCCCATCCGCGAGGCGCTCACAGTGACGATAGGCGCGGCTGCTGGATGGGCGAGTGTTGGTGTTTCATAAACAACTGCAACCAAGATGGCCGCGGGAACAACCGAGTGCCGGGCAAGCGCCCGCGAACTGCTGCCGGCCCGTTTCTGTGCCTCTGCAGGATTAGGTGGTGGATACTGGCCGGCTTGTCTGGCCTGGTCGTAAAGCCTTTGGGCAAATCCATCGTCTGATGTCGAATGGGCGATGACAGCTGCCGCGCACACAGTTGCCAGCGCGCAGGCGGCGCTCACGCCTCTCTCTATTCTAAGTATACGCAGATGCAAAGCATAGCCAAGCAACACATGGCAGCACGGCTGCAGAATCGTCGTGTGCCAGACTCGACATGCCTTAGAGTAGATTCGACCGTCGTACCAAAGGGACTGTTCGTCTGGTGGTCTTGCCCATCTCCCCGCATAGCCACGTTCCGTCGTCCCGCCCCGTTCCCTCAGCCCCCCGCCTCGGCATCCGAACTCAGAGAATCGATAAACGGCATGCACCCAGCCCCTCCCCTTCAGCACCATCGCATTCTTATCCAAATCCCATTGTATTGCGAAACAGCCGTTTCGTACCGAATCTGCGAGCAGACCATGTGTGCGGCCTAGTCTTACTCCTACCTTACGTGTGCTTTGATTCTGCATGCGTTCATTTGCCCATGGCTCTGGCCTTGTCCTTGTGACGCATCTGCTACTTTGGTGCAATTCCCGTCCTATCCTCCATACAATTCGCCATATTCTTGCAATCTTGGGCATTGCTCGGGTGTAACACCATCGAGGGGAATACAGTCATCCAATAATGGCGCAGCAGTTTCAGCACACCTTGCTTGACTCCCTCAACTGCCTTTCCAATCACTACACCAGATAAACGTTCCACAACGCCATTGCGTCCCTACTTCCTTGTGTCCTGAAGGCCCAATTGGCCTAGGGCATATCCAAAATTGCCGTCCACAGTTGACTCCTGGTTTTTTAGTCGTGAGAGTGATGCAATGTTCGCCATGTTCACATCGGGGCGCTGCTTTCTTAGAGAAAAGCTTCGTCCAGCCTTCCCTTGACGCTTCTTGAGAAGCGCGGGGATCAGAATCAAACGCCTCGTTAGTTGTCGGCGACGGAGAAGGTGGATGAGGCATTTCCGTAGCATTCTGACTTGAAGTATTCGTGGTTTCGAGAGATGAGACTGATGGCGCTGCGTCTTTGGGCGTAGTAGGATCTGCAGACTTGCTATGTGCCTGGAAGAAACCTCTGAGTGATTGTTGCCCCTTGTTACCTTTGGTAGACACAGCGAGGGCGCCAGCTTTGCCCCGCTTGATTGGCTTTCCAGGGGAAGCAGAGGCTGATGCGCGTCGTTTTTCAGCGGACCTGAGAGGACTCTGTGAAGATGTGGGTTTGTTTTCCGTATTTGCAAGCATATCTGCTTTCGAAGCCTCAATTGCCAAAGCCAGGTCTCTATCCATCTGCTCTTCCGCTGTGCTCGCAGTACTTGCAACCTCAGCCTTTGCTGTGACATCCGGCTGAACTACCACAGGCGTAGGTTTTGGAGGTGTTGGCTTTTTACTGAACATGTCCCGAATATTCCTCCTCTTAGTAAATTCCGAGAGAAGTTTCCCGCTAAGAGCCGGGACGTCCTTGGCTGGATCGTAATCACGTTGCCGTACACCATCTTTGAACATGCCCGCTGGGTTCATCAAATCTAGCAAATTCACCTCCTCTTCTACGCTTTCTGTTCCTGATGTCCGTTGTATTGGCACCTTATCTTTTAACACCGCGTATACCGGACAATGATCTGAACCCATCAATCCTTCTTGGATATTTGCGTCCTGGAACCAATTCTTGATGGCGATGCTGCAAAGAATGAAATCGATCCGTGATCCAAAATTACTTGGCCTAGCATTGATCTTCTGCTCCCAATGTGTATACATGCCTTCACGATCAGGATGGAACTCGCGACACAAATCATACAGTACCGGCTCTTCCCGTCCCTCGTCCCGCTCACCTGGAACATTTCCATTGAGCAAGAGCTGATTAAAGATGCGACGATTCGGCGTGCTTAGATACTCGTCATGTGTCATACCCTCCGTCCGTATATGTTCTTCCGCTCTCGCCGTATCGATCAAGTCCCGGGAAACATTCAAGTCTCCCGTAAGGATGACATTCTTTCCCATTTTCGTCAGATTTCTTATCCGTGTCTCGAGCGCTATTAGAAAGCCAACGCGGAATCCGTCTCGTAAGCCATTGCTGTTTGCTGGGCTATAGACACCAAAAAGGACAAAAGCGGGAAACTCCAGGACAAGACAGCGCCCTTCCAAGTCTAAACTCTCTGCGTCAAGATCAGGAGGGAGGGATGCAATTTGTTCGGGAGTCAGATAGCCGCCGATACTGTCAGATTCCGGGAGTTCGCGGTAGGGCGTTGTCGAGTTGGGAGGGCAAAGAGCGCCTAAGACGCCTTCTTCGGCGCGGATAGGAGCGCATACGGATTGTCGTGTGAAGATTCCCACACCAGAGTATCCTGGAGTATATTAGCATGGGGTGACAAGGCTAGCGTATATATGTCAAGGTGGCGTACCTTTCTTGTGCTTGGGCAGACTGAAGTAGCAATCCCAGCCTTGTACAAGGACCATATCATCCGTCAGGTCCTTGCGCTGGATCTTCAGCTCTTGCATAACTACAATATCGGTCTCCAATATATCGAACATGGCATTGAATGTGCGATTCGTGCTCCATGGCTTGTACCCAAACGGGTTGCGAATGCCGTTGACATTCCATGTGGTGATGCGAACCATGGTGGTATGTGTGGAAGCAATTTACGGAGGACGACGACAGGCATGTATATATCCAAGCTTCTTCATCGTCCTGCTCCCTCGTCGATGCCTCAGCAAATGAAGTTGCTCGCGTGAAGAGGCAAGACGCGCCAACGCGACCAGTGCACGACGTCACATTACCCGTCGGGGTCGGCAAACTCCGCATCAGCCCATCTGAGTTGCGCGTGCCAAGCCCTGTTTCGTCAATTCGGAGCTGGCTCCTCTGTCACAACCTCACTGCCCACGCCTACGCCCACACCAATTGCGACCACCCCCCATCTCCACTCCACCCCAAACCGTCGCCATGTTCGCCGCCCGCTCTTTCGCCCGCGCCGCTCCGCGCCAGGCCATTGCCCGCGCTCCTGCCCGCGCCGGCCGCCGCAACTACAGCTCCGAGAGCCCCAAGCAATTTGCCGGTGCCGAGGACAACGAGTTCAACCGTGAGCGTGCTCACATTGAGCAGCATGCCGGCGAGTCTGGCGAGTTCTGGCGCAAGCTTTCGCTCTAGTAAGTTGCTCGGCTACTTTTCTGGGGAAAGAGGGGGAATGACGATGAGGATGAGGAAAGGACAATCAGGTGATTGTGGAATTGAGGACAAGCAAATGGAATACTGAAGAGGCGAGAATTGGTGTCTGGTGTGAATTATGGCAGCCTCAAAAAAGACGGAAAAGATATAATGCTGTTTCCCCCTCGAAATGGTCACTAACCATCTCCACAGCGTCGCCGTCCCCTGCATCATCGTCGCCAGCGTCAACGCAAAGGTGAGGTGGGATGCCCACTGGGAGCACGTAGCCCACGAGGAGCACGAGCACCCCCGCTCTGAGAGGCCCGAGTACCCCTACCAGAACATTCGCACCAAGAACTACTTCTGGGGAGACGGTGACAAGGTATATTCCCAAATATACACCTACATACACCCCAAAGCCTTATATCTGACCACACAAACAGACCCTTTTCTGGAACGACAAGGTTAACTACCACAAGAAGGACGAGTAAGCGCTTTGCACGTCACTGCTTCTATACAAGTGATGTCATATATGCCATTCTCAAGCCTAAACCCCCTTATCTAGAGAGCAAACCGCCAGGGCTGAATGTGTGTACATAGTACGACGAGAGCAAGCATGCTGAGAGAGACGGTAGATCAGCAAATGCATTTTTCCCTTTTGTATCTGCAACTTGACTTTGTGTGTGCGGCAAACGCCCTCAATGATTCGTATTGCCGTTGTTTATATATATCTCTTATACGGACTTAGCCTTCTAGTCCCGCAAGTCCTTCCTCCCAAACGCTATTGTGCCTCATTGCCCATTCCTCTGCTACTTTTTCGTCACCCCGCAGTTTGGCGATGATCGCCTTCTTCATCAGCTGCTCGCATTCGCCATCTAGGTACCCCGCTTTCCGGAAACTATCTCGTGCACGGTCAGTGTAGAGTTCTGCTTTGGCGACGTTGGTTGAACGGGAGCGGTGCATTGGTGCTGTGGTTGTGATAGGTGTTTGGGGTGGGTTCGAGGCCGTAGTAGTAGTAGTTGTAGGTGGGAGATTGGGATTAGCAAGACCCATGTAGGAATCTGATAAGTGTGAGTACAGGGTCCCGATGAGCATTTTGTCTCCGCCTTCTAGAGCCTGTTTCACAAGATATTAGCATCATCGGTCTACCTCTCAGCCACAGGAACAAAGGGATGTAAATACGTACCTGAGGAAGCACACCCTCCACCAACCTCTTCGCCTCTCGATACTCACCCAGCGAATTCAAGATTGCACCCAAACAACCGACTGCACACCAGAGCGTGAATCCCAAACGAGCCCTGAAACTCACACTCGCTGCCCGGAGGGCCACACTGAACCCCCTCTCCGGTTTCCCCACTTTGATCCAGAGATCTGCCTGCATGAGCAGTACCGAAATGCGTTGCTGTATATCGGCATTATCTTCTTTGAGGGACTGGGAAAGGGCCGAAATGCATTGGTACGCAAGTGGGAATTGAGCTGTCGAGACGAGATAGTTGATATAAGTGTCGTGCTGGACGAACGACAATTCCGGGTCAAGAGGAGGTATGGACGGGGAATTGGTAGGTTTGAGTGTTTCGAGGAGGTGCGTGGCTGTTGGCCAGTCGGATCTGTTCAAAATAGATTAGTATTCGTCATTTGGGTTGCGATGTGAATCAAGTACCTTCGGATAGCTTTTCTCAGCTTGATGAGGCCAATACATAGAACGAGGAACTGATTGAACTTAAGAGACTTGTGTACTGATGTATCGACGGATTCGAGGATAGTTATCGCTTCGTCGTAGTTACCGTTCTGGTTGATAACAAAGGCTCTTCGCCCAATGGCACGGAGACGCTCCTCAACGGGACATGAGTGCGAGTAGCAGTCGAGAAGGAGCTCACAATGCACGTTAGATAGATGTGGTATGCCGAGGCGGTTGTAGAGCGTTGCTATGAGAAGCATTTGACCGCCATAGCTGTTTACATTCTCTTTGATGTTGAGGTGGGAGGACTGGTAGATGTGTTCCAGCGCTCGTGGGATGGAATCGCCCTGGTGGGATGTTAGCATTGTGCCTGATTAAGTGACCGAAGCATAACGTACGGTTGCGAGAGAAAGCTTTGCTTCGTTGAGCAGACTTGTGCTGAGCAGATTATACATTTTAGCATCCTTTGCTTTGGCCTTAAGGAATGCCAATGCATCTCGTTCGCTTCCAAGCATACTCATGTATCCTGCACCTCTCATCTGCTTTGGGTATGCTTTAGCCATATGGTTCAACCAGCTAAGACTAAAGCTCAAACAAGTCATGTCCTGGTTTTCACGAGCTGTTGCAATGGTCTCGTTGATAGCAGCTATGGCCTCGCCGAAGCAGCCGAAATCGGCCTGCAGAATAGCCATGTGTAGCAGGGCATACTGGTAGTGAATCTTCTCGCGTGTCTGCATGGCATAGTCATAGTAGCGATGCAGGTTGTCAAATGCGGATGTGTAGTCTCCCGCCTTCCAGGCATCGAAAAAGTGCACCAAATGCGCCTGGCGATGTACCTGTCCTGACGGGCTCACCATGCTGCGTAACCGACTTTTCATTTCATCTGGAACGCGATCTCCAAACTTTTGCAGTCGATCAAGTTGGAAGTCGAGTATCCGATCCAGGTCGTCCAGGCTTGTATCTGCGGGCTGCTCTTCCTGGTCCTCCAGGTGGCCGTATGCAATCTCATATACATCATCCCCAGCTCTTAAGCCCATTTCGGAAGCGACTACATCGACACCACTTGAAGCTAGGCCAGCAAGCCGCTTGGTCCATTGCGCTGTTGGAGCCCTGTATTTGATGAATGATGACCAGAGTTTCATTGAATCGTCGAATTGCAGTCTTGTAAACTCCAAATGTGCTCTACGAACAAATGCACCCAAGGGTGATGTTTTGGATAGATAGGTGCGGTCTGGTATCTCTTCCTCTTGGTTTGATGGTTGCGGCGCCGTAATGATCTCCAGAATACTGTCAAAGAGAGCATGCAGCGCATCGAAGGAATTTATTTCCCACATTTGCTTAAGAAACAGGTCGAGCAGGGTCCGGCCCGGCATGCTTGATGCATGTCCTTGAAGCACATCTTCGAATGCATCGATCGAGAAAGATGCATCCTGTTGGATTGAGGTAGAGGGCTGTGGCCGTGCGCTGGATGGTGTTGAAGGCAGGCTGTCTGACAGGATGAAGGAGAGAATAGGTATTGTCGCGGAAGATGGGAGGGGAAAATTGCAGTAGAGACGAGTCAAAACAAGAAGACTGATCTTCTGCGCTGTAAGGTAGCGAGGTATCGTCATCCTTGTCGCTTCTAGATTTGTTGTAGGTAGCTACAATAAACAAAGCAAGAGATGTTGTGGTCCTCGGACTATTGCCTCCAGGGTACTTTTCACGATATTCCTCTATGCAAACTGTGCATTGTGTACTGGCGATGTGGCTAGCAGTCTTCTTGTCGATTGTGCGGTTCTCAAGTTGAGCCCTATTTGGTGAAGGTGATGTTGATGGATCGGCCCAGTAACCAGCAACCGAGCGCGCAGGCGCGTACCTGTCGCGAAGCAATGGGCTCCGCATAGGCAGTGCCACGCATCCTACATCAACACAATAGTATTAAGCGTTGTAATTCCTCAAGGAACAGTGAAAATGCAAGAGTGAGCGCAGGAAAGAAATATTTAGAGTCAATTACAACAATTTAATATTATATGTATTTATGTAATCGTCTGACGCGAAGAGTTGCTAACTCCAGAATCCTTCCTGACACTCTTCAGATCATCTTCACTAGATTGCAACGTCGGGACCGGAGCAGCCTTCAAGAACTCGTCCTCGTCTGTCGCATTTGTTGCCCAGATCTTGCTGATACTCAGATCGTACGGCCCTGGTATCCGATCTATCAGCGATATGCCTACTGTGCGCACCTTTTGCGTCAACATCTCTCTCTGAGGCTCTACAACCTGGCCGTGATTTGTCCGCACAAACTCGTTCCATTTGATCAAGATTGTTTCCCACTCTCCAGGTGTCTTGGAGTGCAGCAAGTGCTGGTGAATATCGGTGGGGACGATGGATTCTGTCTGGACGTTTACAAAGTACTTGCGCCCATCTGACTTGAATTGGATGGCGAGGAAACTATACATGCTCACATCCCACAGCGACTTGCCGAAGATGGTCGAGCCACGGTCCAGTGTCCTCCACCCGGCGTATCCGGTCCTCTGAATGTGCGGTTGGTTGTGTGGCAGTTGTGTAGATATGGAGCCGTGAAAGCGGACGTGAGGGGGTTCGTTCTTCACAGGAGGGTGGAAGTCCAAGTTTGCAGAAGAGAAGCCGCCAATGTCTTTATCGCTCATACGCTTGCATAGTTCGGCATCTTCGGGCTGATTGAAGAGAATCAGAGGGAATGGCTTCTGGGGCGACCTAAGGCCCTCGAGCTTGAGCGCTGCAAATGTTAGTGGCGGCGCATCCAAAATGCGATTTTTGGCACTCACCAAAATTGGAGAGCCGCTTGAACTCGTCCAAGCTGCGCTTCAAGAAACCAGGTGCAAGGCAAGCCGAAGTCGGGCGCATATTGGCGTGGGATCGGTGCAATGTGCAAGAGGCGCAATGGCAGCTCGCTCTCGATCTGGGTGAGGCTCACACGACGCAATGCAACTATGACGCCGCGGTAGTCTCGCCGGTCACTAGCCGCATCGGGCCTACATGCCAAAAATCTGGGGACATTTACATTTGCATTTGCATGTACAGCGCATCCGCCACACTCATCGCCAGATGAGACTTTTGCAGGAGATTTAACCAGTCAAGGTTCCGCCAATCCATCGACGCTTCATCGTCCCCGCCCGCCTCTCACGACACAATCAGAAAAGTCGCCAGCCCCGCCACCAACTTTTTTGTCTCTCGATGGCACTGCAAGAAACCTCCAGGCCTCGAGGTATTCGAGCCGGCCCCGCCCACCCTTTGCAACCGCTGCCACCCTCGTCGCGAGAATTGGGAGAAGTCACACCGCCGAAACAGGCAGATGGCGCATCCGTAGCAAAAGAAGATCCCAAGTCTGGAAAGTCATGGGCGCATTTCGTCGCCGGAGGGTATGGAGCAAAGTCTTTACGCAATGGCACCAGAAACTAACAGTTGCTCAGACTCGGTGGTATGGCCTCTGCCACTCTCACTGCTCCGCTTGATGTCCTCAAGACTCGTCTACAATCCACCTTTTATCAACAGCACCTCGCCGCCATGCGCGCGGCCCGAGGCTTGCCACCCATAGAAACCATGTCCTTTGCACGAAGTTCGCTACTGCACATCCGGGAAACAGGAGAGATATTGTGGCAAGTCCCCAAGGCAGAGGGCTGGCGGGCACTGTTCAAAGGACTGGGGCCTAATCTTATTGGTGTGGTCCCCGCTCGCGCAATCAACTTTTTTGCATACGGAAACGGCAAGCGATTGATTAGCACACAATTCAACAACGGACAGGAAGCCGCATGGGTACATCTCTGCAGTGCCGCCGCCGCCGGTATCGTGACTGGAACCGCAACGAATCCTATTTGGCTGGTCAAGACGCGGTTGCAATTGGACAAGAACACCCACTCTGACGGTCGAGGTCGTCAGTACAAGAACGCTTTTGACTGCACAATGCAAACCATACGCAAAGAAGGTGTTCGTGGACTATACCGTGGACTGACAGCCAGTTATCTCGGTGTCACCGAGAGCACACTACAGTGGATGCTGTATGAACAGATGAAGCTGTCGTTGGCGAGAAGAGAGGAGAGGGTTCTCGCTAGCGGCAAGCCACCGACAGTATGGGATCAGACTGTTGCATGGACGGGAAAGCTGACTGCTGCTGGTTCGGCCAAATTCGTGGCAGCACTCATCACATATCCACACGAGGTTGTCCGCACAAGGTTACGACAAGCACCCATGGCAGACGGCCGACAAAAGTACACTGGTCTCGTCCAATGCTTCCGGCTGATTTGGAAGGAAGAAGGCATGGCAGCACTTTATGGCGGCCTCGTCCCCCACATGTTCCGTGTGGTGCCCAGTGCTGCCATCATGTTCGGCACGTATGAGGGCGTGCTGAAACTTCTTGGGGAGAGTAGCAACATGTAAACGAAGCGTGTTGTTGATCTGTATGCGTATGTGTACAACATCTACTTGCATGAAACGGCGTTTTTTTTTGGTTTAGGAAGGGAGATCTGATTGGCATTTTCGGGCGTACTCCTATCACCACTCAGCTCCAACAGAGCTTGTATTTGTATTATGCGGATCAGGAAGATAAAAAATGAGGTTACGATATGTGCGGACGCGGGTTACAGGCGTATTCTTCCCGTGTGTAGCACGAGCTCTAGATCGTACTCTCAACGAACAAATGGCAATTGTACAACAGTACATCTGTTCAAAATTAAAATCATTCCCGATTATATGCGAAAGCCAAGACTTGATGGTTGTAGCACGAATCTCAAGGCCATGATTGCCAGTCTTAGATTTCTCGGAGGTCCGACAAACTTAGCGCGACTCTCCCGCCCAGAACGTCGACTTTTGACATCTTCAGCGGCCGCCGCCCTCAATACCAAAACGACCCCCACCACACGACGCAATACGTGCGCGGGGTGCCACACCACAGCTGCCCAGCATGTCGACACATATCCCGCTTCGCACAGTTCGAACACCAGCGCTACAGCGACAATGCCTCTTCCTGCGCCACCAATACCAAAACCGAGCACACAACCTTTCCCGGTGCCAATCCCTCATACCGACCACCCGCGCATTCTCGAGCACCCCGCCGCGCCCCTCGAAACGCAAACAACTCGGTCAAGATAACGCACAAATCAGGGCTGCGGCTGAGGCACAGTTTGCACCGTCGCCAAAGGTCAACTTTGAGAGGGCGCAGACTAGTGCGGATGCTATGACTGAGGACATTGGATTACTGCAAAATACTATCATCAGAGCGCCGTTTAGCGAGTTGAAAGGGATTGGTTTTCGGGGGCTAACGAGTTATTACTGGGATCTGGTGAAGAGCAAGGGGACAGCGCTGTATTCGTAAGTGGTTTTCTGGAATTGAATGAGGTGGGCTAGTCATGCCGGGCGGGGGAGAGGGCAAGCCAATTGAGAATATCAGAGAGAAGACATGGGAAGAATCACAGAGGACAACGTTGTCTGACAATGGCTTCGTACACTGGCTGACAACGCACCAGACGATACTACTACCGCGCATGCATCCAAAAAACCGGCTGGACAAAGTTCTTCCCCATCGACCTCTTCAACAACAAAGAATACATTCAGTTCGCACAAAAAAACTACGAGAAAATCTACTCAAACCTTGCAAAGTACGTCCGCATCTCTCCCTCCGTTCCAAACCCAACTACTCTACTAACCCATATGTTCTCACAGAGGCACCGTCGCTCCCCTAAAACAAACCTGCCTCCCTCCGCTGATCAAATCCCTCGAATCCCGCATCCTCTCCCGCGGCCCTGTGCAATTGCAATGGCGGCTCCATGGCCCATTTAAATCAAGCCGCGTAGTATCGCACCGCGCCGCACCGCTCGGCGAGTCCATGCCCGACACTGCCTACAGACAAGTCGTCGTACGCCTCGTATCCGAGCAATCGCTTCGAGCAATCCCCGCTTCCTCTTCGTCTACAGCGACCCCGAACCGCGCAATCCACCGCTTACCTTGGATCCCGGATGCGGCGCGCCAGCAGCTGGAGAAGCAGCGGCAGCGCGAGCGGAAGATGGAGGATGAGAATGGGAGTGGAGAGGTTGCTGTGCTAGACGTAGTTGAAGAGGAGAATGTGGTGCCGAAGACGGTGACGGAGTACCTGGTGTTGCAGAAGAGGGTTATCAAGGGCAAGGAGGAGGACTGGAAGGTGTGGGGGTTTGCAGAGGAGAGCACGCCGAGTGTGATTGAGAGGGATCAGGAGTACTGGCGCAAGATGCTGGATGTGCAGGCGGGCGGGGCGTAGATTTGATGGACTTGAAGAGCTACAACAGCCGTGTCCAGAGAGAGAGAAGACGGAAATTTCCCCCATCCTGTAACCATACTTTGTACATAAGGATTGACGTGTGAAGAATAACCATGTGGGTTTTTGGGGTCCCTCACAAAGGATGATCTTTTTTGCAACAAAAAAGTCTGCACTTGCGATTTTTTTTCATCTTCTCTTCGAACTTTAGTCACGCGAGCAAACGTCACAAATACGAATTGTAGAGAGACAAGGCTTCTTAATTTGAGCGCTACTCACTTGGTGGTAATCACACAAAAAAAGAGCTCATCGTCCAACGCAATCATTCAGCGCATAAGCATTTACACCGCCGCGCGAAAAAAAAAGCCTCTTCTCTCACTATCGCAACCTCAAATCCCCGCTCTCCACTTTTTCCTACTCACAATGGAGGAAGACCATTCAGCCGAAACTTCCGAGAGAGAAAGCAGTGCCGCTCTAGCCGTGTGCCCCAGTAAAGAAGGAAAGGTCGGAATGTTTCTCGAGGAAGGGGGGTGCGCGCACAAAAAAAGGTAAACAGTGACTCGGGACTAGAAACCGTGGACCTAAATAGTAATTCCAACGTCAGTTCTTGCATTTCGCTGCGGAGAGGAAAACAAAGTTTTGTATTGTTCCCCCGAATTTTGGAGCGAAAGTGAGAGGGAGAGTGACTCACCTTGATTGTTTTTGCGTCGAGACCGAGGCCTTCCTTCTTGTCGGTCAAGAAGTCTTGGACGTCCTTTCGCTGATCGCCCTGGAGCTGGACGACCTCGCCCATTTCGGCGTCGCTCACAATGGTGCCATTGCAGGCAAACTTCTTCTTGATCACTTTGAGGATCTTCTTCTGGTCGAATTTCTTGGGGAGACCTTGCACCGTCGTCAGGGTTTTGCGGCCATTGCGCTCTGTGGTTGCGTCAGCTGGGGGAGTGTTCCTGCAGCGAGGACCTTTATTTTTTTCCCTCGCGTCAACTGTGCAAGGGCGGTGAGGCACGTACGTTGGATACGAATATGAATGTAGTCCTGCTGAGTCTGTTTGACCTGGCCGGTATCTTCATCCGCTTCCGCGAACGGGTCTGCAGTGTAGAGTTAGCAGCCGGGTTGCGCGTTGTGCTGCAGGGTGGTGGGGGGCTGAGGGTTGCAGCTGCACAGCTCTTACCGAAGGTCTTAAGGTTCTCGATGGACATACGACTGTCGGTGGGCGCGCGTGTGTAGGTGGGGGGTTGTGGGGTTATGGATGTGTCGAGTCGCCAGTGAGATAGTTTTCTGTTGAGATGCGGTGGAAAGGGAAGTTTTGCGGGCTTCACGGGGGGTTTGGAAGAGGGTTTGCTGCTGCAGCTGAGAGTCGGGAGGGTCGAGTGAGCAGGCTGGGAAAGAGAGGTGGGGATGCGGAAGGGGAAGAGCGAGCCCCGCTATGGTCTGTGCACGGGGTGAAGGCAGGACAGGACAGGACAGGACAGGGTAGGATGGATGGATGCAGATGGATAGACGGTGCTGGTTGCCGTGTTATGGAATGCGAACGAATGCATGCGAGTAGGCAAGGGTGCGAGTGACACGGGGCGACGCGGCAACACACGAACCGTCGATGGTGCAAGACATTGGTCGTTGGCAGCCAGCCGACATGTATCGTCGCATGCTCGCGGCCAAGATTGGATTATACAGTTTGCATGGTACAGCTGCTACCTTGGCACCGGCTACAGACAATCTATCCACGCACTGCCGCCTACGAAGGGGGCACGGCAGCAAAGGCCTCGGTGCCTGACGCCTGGCCGGGACGAGCAGGCGGCGGGGGGAGGAACATGGACGAGTACGTCTGTGGCACAGCGTCAGCATCAACATTATCTCGGTAATTAAGGATTAGGCGGGGGAGAGAGCGTCTTACGACGAGGAGTGACATGACTGCGAGTGAATTAGCATGGGAGCCGACTCTACTTGGGATGGGAGCATGCATACTAGACATGCCGACCTGGAAGTAAGCAGGCGTAGTCGACGTCTTCCTCTGTTCGGCCGTCTCAGCCAGCCAAGCCTGGATAGCAAAGACTACGGCAACCCTGCACTGCGTCAGTCATGCAACGTCGCACACACACTGAAGGCAGCAGGCGACTCACCAGCCGATCATCCTGTGCAACACCGTTCCACGTCAGTCATCATGGCCATTGCAATTGGGCGCGAGTCCCTCGACATCAACACGTTGGGGTAGTGCGTACTTGTTGCGCGTGAAGATCTGGGGGGAACTATATCAGCGTGCAGCATGGTGGCGGCTAGGGCAGCGTCACTTACAGCAGCCATGGGCAGCGTGCTCGACAGCGTGCCTGCAAAGTCGCCATTCAGATTAGCAGGGTGTGCGTGTACAGGACAGAGCAGTCAGCGGGAGACGGCAGGGCGCTGCTCACTCGACATGTCGCCTTCATCTTTGCTCTTCTCGGGTTCGGCATAGGGCACGACTGCACTACCATGTTAGCCACGTGACTAGACACACACACGCACACACGGTGTTGAGCCCCTATGATGGGGGGCGCTGGCTGCGAGCGCCAGAGAGCCAGGGCTGGCGGGCGGTTAGTCACGTACTGAGGTCGGCGCGGCGCATATCTTTTTTCGAAGCCATGGTCGAGATTGGGGGGGGGCCGGCGGTGTGGGCTGTTGGCCGATTTATCTACCGTGGTGGAGACTGGTGGATGTAAGACGAGTGTGATGGGCGTCGTCGTGGTCGTGGGCTGGGAGCGAGGCCGGGATTGCCTGATAGCACTAGGCCCATCGCCGCCCCCCCATGCTTGCCTCGCTCTATCGTAGCACCGGATCATCGTCTCCGCTGCTGGACTGGCAACATCCTCTAGACTACCCACTAGCCGACACGCCTCACGTCGTCCATCCTTCGGCCCCGTCCACCCTCCTCATCTCCCGAACCACCACATCCTTCCCCGTGTGGTGCTGGCAACAGTCGCGAGCACATGTCCCCGTCGCCCTACTGCTGTTGCTGCTGCTCCCATCTACATCTATACATCTGCTACTACTACACCTGCCTCTCAGCCCGCCCAGCCACAACAGCCCCGGCACCCTCCCTTTGCCCATCTGCATGCGCCTGATTCAACAATGAAGTCGCCCCCTGTGCGATGACTTCTCGACCTGGCCCGGGGATTCACGAATCTCTTCAGAATCGTGGTAGCGGCCTGCCTCCTCGGTCCCAGGTGCAGCGTCGGCCGACCAAGCCCATCTCAACGCTTGTCCAGCCCGACTGCATCGACCCAGCCCTGGAAGACGACCGCCCTCCCACACACAATGTCGCAAACGATGCTGCGCGTCCTCCCCCACGGGGACGCCCGCCGCTCTTCTATACCGCCATGCCCAACTACGCCCTCGACATGCCTATACACGCCTTTCCTTATCAGCCAACCGCGAACCTCCCCCTTCCCCCACGCCCGGGCTCAATACATCTAAGAGATGCGTCTCAGCAGCGTCGCATATGGCCCGGCGGCTCCGGAGTCAAGGAGACTCCAAAGCCAGGCGCGTCTGAAGCCGTCGCGCCTCCCGTCCATTTTCCCGGTGGTAAGGTTGCCGATGTGTTCCCATGGACTGGTAACGGTGCCGAGGATAACTTGTCCGAGGCGCTTGTCAAGGCAGGTGTCAGCAATAAGCCTCAGATCATGAACGAGTCCAATACTGCTCGGCCCTCGCTGATAAACAACCTGAAAAACAAATCTGGTCTCAGTACACTGTCCACCCTGTTCGTCGCCGTCCTGGAAAAGAGGCAACAAACTGGCCGCTTACAGGCCCCCAACACCTTCAAACCCCCACCCCGACTAACTCTTAGAGATTCCACTCGTGAGCAGTGGTTGCATGATCTAGCAAATCCCACCACAGGTCTTCGTCGCCTCAGCCGCACCATACCCCATGGGCTCACTGGCAAGGTGCTGCTGGAACAATGCCTCAATAAGAACATACCGCTTCCGCGAGCCTTGTGGTTGGCCAAGTGCGTAGGTATCAACGAGCTGCGCGCTCACAAGAGAAAGGGACAGGCCGGTACTGTGACGTGGGGAAGAGGCTGGACCAGTTCCGTGGAGCAATTCATAGACGGAGTCATTGGCGGAATAGGACAAGGCGACTGGAAACCACGAATCACGTATGCCCTCCAACTGGCTACCCATCTTTACAAAGAGCACCTTCTCGACGACGACCACTTTCTCGACTGGATAGTCAACGGCTTAGACACATGTGCATCGGAGCGTCTATTCATCTGGCTGTTGGTTGTTTCCATTTCTCACTACTGGGCGGACGTTACGTGCTGCCGTCGCCGCGGCAAGCGTCTTGCTGAGTCGTTGCTCAACCAACTTGACAGGATCTATCGACTAGAGGAACAGGGCCCCTACCTGGCTGTCTTGCAATACCTGGAAAACACCGTTGTCAGACTACTTGCAACACGACCAGCATGTTTACTACTCCCGACATCGTGGACGCAGTACGGCCCTCTTCTCCAGAAACTTGCAGAGAGGCGGAACCATGCACACGTCACCCAAGCCATCCGAAGACTTGAGCAGCGAAATTGCAGGTTGTTAAAGGCTCCCCAGAGACCATCATTCGCTTCACAAACGCCTGCCGGTCGAGTCTATCGCATCCTAGACTCTGTTGACTACAATAGGCCAGTCCGCATCGAAGACTTGTCTTATGACTGTATGGAGATTATTGCGGATGCGCCCCGCCTAATCGGTGTTCTCCTCCGCTGGACTTGCACGTACTATCGAGAAGGTGCACACAGGGTGTATCTCGCGACTCGGTTACTTCGGCGGTGGAATCATCTCGGAGCCGATGTGTATGACGGCATCATTTCGTATTTGCGCGAAATGACATGGGTCGCAACAGGCGATCCTAGCCTTCTTTTCAAGGTAGTCGCAGAACTGGTTCGTTCCAAAACATTCGCGCTCGGACGCTACCTACAATGGCTTATTGCTACTGGATCCGTGGGGCATGGTGCAGATCTCTCTGTGGTAAGTTGCCTTCGTCAGCGTGATGAATCTACTCTAATCCGTTACCAGCCTGCCTCCTGGCCGCTGCGTCTGGTCACCGAGATACCCCTTACTGGACTGCCTGATCAGATTCGCACCCTGCGGAGCACCCTCCTTCGTGGGACCGTACACTCTGCAGAATCAGAGCAAAGAGCCCTTACCTACGCCAAACATATGATGTCTCAGACTTTGCCTAGTTTGTTTGGGCTCTACAATTCCACGACGGACGTGAACGAAGTTGAGCTAGACAAGCTTAGTCCGACCGTGAAGTTTGAGCTAGGTATCTGGTTACGCCGACAAGTTGCTCAGTATGCAGAAGTCAACGAGCAGTAAGGCCTTTTATTGACACGTACGGTAGTTCGCTAACTTTCTATAGTGTACCTACCAAAGATGCGCCAGGAGAAGAGACTGCTGCAGTGTCCTTGCTAACGGCATTGGATTTCCATATTGTAAGGTCCTACCTCGAACGTTTTGGAGATCTCGCTATACTTGCGGACGTTGTTGGTATCGCGACTTCATCTTTGGATTCCAGTGTTCTTGCTTCCACTGCGGACACGATTAACTACCACGCCAAAGCCTTCCGTGCCATAGGTGCCTTCGATCCTCTATTTGCCAGAATTACAGCGAGATATGCCGCCTTGCGAACGATCCGATTTCCCGATCGCGAGCTCCTGCTCAGCCTTGCTAGTCTAGCTCGCACCGCCCAAACTGATGGACAGCTCCCACAGCTTCTCAACTATGACTTGAGTCAACTCAGTCAGCGTAACTCGCTTATTGCCTGCTCGCCTGCCTCTGATAACATGGGTGAAGTTATGCAGACAGGATCATCCTCTGATGACGAAATTGAGCGTATCCTTTCTAGTGGTACCAGTATGGACCAGCAGATGATGGGTCGAGTACTCCGCAAGATTGTAAGCAACATAGAAGAGCATTCAGGCAAAGGTTCCGTGCATCTGAACAGCCATCATGGCTGGTTCCATCGACTCCGCTGTTTCGATGAGCCAACGTTTGATATGGTTGTGAATGAATGGCTGGCCTCAAGCTTGATGGCTCAAAGAACCGACAGCTTGCGAGTAGCTCTGCCCACGCTAGCTGGCTCTGGCTGTGTTGCTCTGACTTCTTTCCTGGAAACTTTGCGAGCCTGTGTTGCAAGATTCAAGACAAGCCCATCTGAAGGTTGCTTCCAGAGCGCACTGAAGGGTATGCACATCATCCTGCCGTCCGATGCGCTGGCTCAGTCATGTTCACCCCAAGATGCGTATCGATATCGCCTCGAGCAGCGAAAGCTATGCTTGGAGACTGAAGGGCGTTTCATGCAGTGTCTAGGTGAGCTGATTGGGCTTGGCTCAATAATCCCTTCGCACAAGACTCAAACACAGCTTGCAAGCTTGATGCGTAGTAGGCCGGTGCTGTCAATTCTGAATACTCACATCGCTACCGATCCAGGATGTCTGAGTAAGCTAAGTAAAGACATTTCGAGTGATTGCCTGAATCAGTCGCTAGATACCCTTCTTGATCCAAACGACCATTTAGGTTTATCTCAGAAACCTCCTGAACAGCAGGTGGCTGCGGTATTTTCACTTGCTAGTGAGCTGTCATTGCCCATCTGTCAGGCGGCCATTGAACGAATCTTCTCTTCCCGAGCGACCGCGTCTGAGGGCTCCAGTGAGGCGCTATCTGCTACCCTTCTTAATGCCATCAAATTAGCAGTGGAGGAGGACCGGCCATCCGGACTAGAGCTTCTTGCGAGTTTGGACGCTTCGCTGACAGGGCAGATACGACAAAATGCAGAGCGTGAGATTATCAACGCTTCCGCTTTCCTGACTGCATTATCGACTACCAAAGTAGAAGAGTCAGAGATTGTTTCCCCCAAGACCGTCCAGAAGTTCCTCGCCGTCATCGATCTAACTCCTAGCAAGGGCGCTGAAAGTACGGAACAGTCTGGCATGCTTCAAGCTTTGATCGAGAGGCTCAAAGGCATGACTCAAGCTCTTGATGATAATAAGCTCTCAGTGTTAGACTTCTACGCTTGGTTGACGGCTCTACTCCGATTGGCAGTGTCCCACGCGTCCACAATGATTAGCAATGCTACGCATCCGTACCAGACGGCTATGATGAGTACTATGGCAGCCATGCTCACTCACCCCACTTTGGAACTGTATCCTACAATCACTGAACATGTGTTTGACGTTACAGTATTCCTCTCGGATTACATCTCCGACGATGTCCGATTCCATGTCACCCGGCTGGATGGTGCTCGACTCGCGAATGACTCACGTTGCGTCTTCATTCTTGGGGTGACAGCGCCTGTTGATGGTTGGCTTGTGCTTGCAAGACCCGTCAACGCTCCTCCAAATCAAAGCTCGTCACAGCCAGCGACACCTACACCACTGCAAGGACAGCCGACACCGTACCAAAATCCGCAAACGCAGGCCACGGGATCTTCGACACCTCAACAACGGTACTCGAGCCAGCAACAGCAACGACAGCAGCAAATGCAGGCCGCCCAGCAAGCGCAACAAACGCGCAACATGCAGCAATACTCACAGCATCCACAAAACAAGATGCTCCCCGCCCAGCTCCAGCGAACACCTTCAGGCCAGGCTAC